AGAAATATAAAACTTGCAGGAAAGCGGACCTCAGGATCGAAGTTCCCCTTCTCTGATCCAGGTTCCTTCATTTTGGTGGCCGTTCCAGTGAGAGCAACATATGGAGATGAGAGCTGTGCTTTCTCTAAAATGAATTTTAGTCAGAATTTATACAAATTGGACAAGAATAATAACGGATCAAATCAAGCATTGACATATATATATATATATTTGAGAATGTTTTAACAAGAATTTTTTCTAAGAGCAGTTCACTGGCAGGTGATTTCGTTTATTTAGATTCTTCCAAATTAACCAGTCTATCAATTTCTTTCTTTGCCAAGAATATCCGACTCAAAACATGATCAATATGACTTTTTTATTTTTAGCTAGATGAATGGAAGCCTGCTTAGTCTGACTTTTTTGATCGGTAATGTAATGAAAGAAGCTGAACTGGGTTATTATCTATCATCACATCAATTCTCTGTGCTGATTGGCTGATTGAATAAGTTATGATTAAATGCATATGCAGGATTATATACAATATTTAGCCTGTGTCTTGTTTTCTAATCCAGGGCACTATATATAGCAACTTTGCAGATGTGGTTTTTATTTGCAATAATGGGAACTGAAAACGTTCCTTTTCTCCATAAGTTCAGGCAGGTGGTTGTAGAGGACGCATCATCTGCATGGCTTCCCCAGCTGATAATGGCATGCTTCTTCTCCACTAACACGGAGGGATAAATGCTAGATTCATAGTGTCTTTTCTTTTTAAAGAAGCCACTAAATGGGTCTGGACTAGGGCTGCCAACCGTCCCTTGAAAAACGGAAAAACGTTCCATATTAAGAAATAGAAGTATCTGTCCCGTATTTAGTGGAAAAGGAAGGCATTTTGTCCCGTATTACTGTGAGAGTAAATTAATAGTCAGTAAAAAGCAAATGGAAAATGAAGAACAAGGGAACGTTAGTGCAAGGTTTGCACTACAGATGCAGAAACCTTGTGGACTTACGATGGCCAACGAGGCCCAGAAAACACACAGAGGAAAAAAAGCATCAGACTGGATCCAAAAATTGTAGAGCTCTGTTTTTATATATATATATATATATATATATATATATATATGGATATATCATTAAAATTAAAATAAAAATCTGAAAAATATCTGAAAGATCAAATAAAGCGATCTGTAGCATCCAGTGCAATTAGAAAAGGCCAGAACTGGTGGTTGAAAGGTTTATTTGAGCCGTCTGTGCCTCCAACCAGCGTAAGAGCTACAAATATAAACAATTTACAATTACAATTTAGTAAACCATGCTTAGCTCATTACATTGGTCACTTTTCTGTTTTAATTAACATTTTGTTATTAACACAAACCTTGTTCCCTAATTGACTGATGCTTTAAACTTTACTATTATATGACTTTCCGTTGTCCTTTAATCAGTTTCTCTTCCAACGTTTTCTTGCTACCTTCCGGTTTATGGACCCTTTTCAAAATAAAAGCATAGTCCTCTAATGTAACCATCATGTAAAAAAACTAAAATAAAGTTTTTTTTTTGTTTTGTTTTTTTTTTTAACCCCACTTTTCTACCGTTACACTATCATTGGAATATTAGTTCAATATACATTCATAATTTAGGAATTATACATATTTCTAATTTAATTTTAGGTAAAATTACATACAGAGTTTTTGTCTTGAAAAACAGTTAGCAGGTGAAAACTAGGATCCTAGCTCAATACCACTGCAGCTATCGCGTTACTGTTTTTAAATAATTAATAAAACAGAATATTTTAAAGAAAAAAAGTGAAATAGATCCAAAGGAAATATCAGTAACCAGTCTGTTAGTATAATGTCTTCATAACAGGGGCCAGGACTTGATCTACAGGGGCACTGGCCCCCGTTGGCCCCTGTCTAGAACCGCCCATGCCTACTTTTTGTTCAAAATGTTGCTACTCTCACTTCACTCAGTTTTCTGATTCCTTTACCCACCGTGTGTAACTTTCAGATATCAGGCGATAAGGCGGTAAACCGTAAATATTGAGTTTTTTTTTTTTTTTATCTTAACAGAAAACTGAAAAAATAAACTCTGGTTTAAAAAAGCAGCTTTTCTGCTTTGAGGCCAGTCTGCCCTGGTTGTTTCTTAGATCTTTGGACACTCCTCTGCTGTCCTTGAACGCAGCGCTGCAGGTTTCTTTGTGCACATATGTGGGATTACAGCTGTAGCAGCGCCTGTTCTCCATCTGTTCGGGTCTGAACCTTTTCTTCCTTCCTTTGGTCTTTGCCCTCCATATTTTCTTTCATTTCCACTGCTGCCTCTGGCCTCTGAATTACTCCTTCTTTCTCATATCCCTCCCTTCCTGTCTCTTATTTTGGGTTTTCTTCTCTTCTCCTTTATCCTCTCATCTTCAGCTCATCCTGCTTTTCTTCCCTCGCTCCTTTCTCGTCCTGTAATTGCCACCTTTCCCTCCTGCTGCACTCGTGGCTCTTCTACTGAAAGCCGTCTGATATGAAGGAGCAGAGCGTGATTAATGGAGGAGAACATTGGCTAAATGTTGGGATTGTGTGTTTAGTTTGGTTATGTTCTCACTGTCTGTTCATGCAGCCCAGAGTCTGGACCTGTTTAGGAAGTCGCCGTTCGGCTGAGAAACCTCAACATGTGGGAATGCAGAGTCACTTTACCGACTTTATTACTTCACTAAAGAGCTGAGAGACGGCAGCTACTTCAACGTTTTTCGGAACTACCCATTAAATGACGTATTTTTTTCCATCGGACTGGTTATAAACCAGCTTTTTATTTGTAGATTTCCATCAACATTGGATGGTGGAGCAGTTTTAGCGCTGCTGCTTTGCAGTGGGATGTTCCTTTCTGCATGTTACTGTTTTCCACAGCCTGCAAACATCCTGATGGATTTTGCCAGGATGGATGGTATAGGTCACAGATGTCAAAGTCAAGGCCAAAAAAATAAAAATAAAGGATGGATGATACTTAATTACCATTAGAACCAGCCCACAGGCCACGGCTGCTTGTGCGCTGCTGTGAGTTAGCGGGCCACCGTTGCATTGTGGGGAATGTAGGGTTTTTGTGGTTATGTTGCACAGAGCAACACTACATTCTCAGGGGAAAACATGATTTTGTTTTTCTTTTATTGAAATATTTTTGTTGTGCTTTGCATGTTTGGATTGTTTTGATTTTTGCTTTCCCCCCCTTTAACAATCTGGGCTGAAGTCGGTTGTCTAAGGAGGCGGAGCGCACTAACCGTGCTGCTCAAATGCTGCCTGCAGGTGTCAGCAGAGGCTGATTGAAGCCAAAATAAAAGGAGCCTGGATGGAGGGAGGGGCAGAGCTGATCCTGCAGGTGATAGAGACGGACACGCTGCTGAGCGAGGGGCAGGTGGGATGCGCACGATATTCTGATTGAGACGGAGACGTCGTCCCTGACTGTGCTGTCTGTTCACCTCCCGGTATTCTGTGCCTGGAGTGCGGATCCCACCTGCCCCTCGCTCAGCAGCGTGTCCGTCTCTATTAGGGGTGGAACGGTTCACAAAATCCACGGTTCGGTTCACGGTTTCGTGGTCACGGTTTTCGTTTCGGTTCATGTTAATTGTTAGCCTGACATGTTGGTTGTGTTGCCGTTAGCATAAACAACACGTGTTGCACAATGCTTGCACACTGTTTTTATCCACAGCTTTCTTTCCGCCGTCATCGTAGGTCACTCTAAATTCAAAGTGGTCCCATACAGCAGACCTATAAAGTGCTGCTGGCGCGTCTTCCAACTCCTGTTCTTTCCCACTCGCCATACCCACACAATTCTCCACAACAACTGATTTTATTCTGCTACACCCGGCTACGCTGCTTTGCTTCTTCTTCTTCTTGTTTACTACTGGTGGTTGGCTTTGGTCGCAGTACCGCCACCTTCTGCTCTGGAGTGTAAACGCTTCGCCTATGAGAAAAAGGAGCAGCGCATGAACCGAACGAAACACACGCAAACCAAACCGAGACAGTCGAACCGAATGGTTCGGACGGTTTTCATAAACCGTTCCATCCCTAATCTCTATCACCTGCAGGATCATTTCTGCCCCTCCCTCCATCCAGGCTCCTTTTATTTTTGCTTCAATCAGCCTCTGCTGACACCTGCAGGCAACATTTGAGCATCGCGGTTAGTGAGCTCCGCCTCCTTAGACAAGTGCGCTTGGATTGTTGAAGGGGGAAATTAAAAACCAAAACAATCCAAACATAATTTATAATTAAGTTCTACCAGGAAAAAACGCATTTATAAATAGAAAATAAATACAGAAATGAAACTCTTAAAGAATTCTTAATAAAAAAAGTTGTTTTTTTCAGATGTTTTTGTGCACGGCTGCTCCGTGCTCAGAGTAAGAAGGGAAATGGCGCCAAAGAGTGGTGAATATTGTAAGTGCAGTTTAATATAATACAAGTATGTGAATAGTTGCATCTGAAATGAATAAAAATAGTTGTTTTAAATGGTCATCGAGTCAGATATGTAACGGTAATGTTTGATTTATTGAAAGGTTGATCTGTCCCTGTGTAAATGGGTTTGGCTGATATTTAAGCTTAGAGTTTGGACTATAAATCTGATATCTGAGACGATGTTACTGCCACTGAAGCTCCTTAGAAATGTTATTGACACCCAGAAAGGTAATGAGGCGGTCGCTAGGCGACAGAGAATACAGGCGATAACACCTGGAGAAGGCTGGACCTATTTTAATCCATGGCCAAACTCTTCCAGCCTCCTTATTTTTATGGACCTTGAAGGATCCAGTCGAGACGGACCGGTTCTTTGGAGGATGCACTTTCTGTCAGTTCATCCTCCTGCACACATTTCTAATCAAATAGCTACCCCTTGTTTTTCTGGATTGTTGGAGCCTTTTGTTGTGGATGGGCTCTGTGATTGGTCAGTTGAATCCTAATGGAGTGCTTATGTAATCTCTTTGGGAGGACTTCCAAGCATTTCCAATTCAGCTGATGTCATGAACCTCATTACTTGTTCTGATCCTCCTGTTACAGCTTCTGGGACGAGGACCTAAGCAGCCGTTTCCATCTCTGGGAACCTTCATCTCCTCGCTAAGCCAGAGGAGGGATGCAGGAGGGCGGGGCTTTGCTGTTGGCATCGGGGGAACCATGACCGGCTCGCTGGGGATCAGGCACAGTGAGTCCACTGCTGCATGTTTTACCCTTTGGTTTACAGATTTCGTAGGTTCCAGTTGCCTTAATTTGAAAAAAGAAAAAGACAGCAGGAAATGAGTTTGAAAGAGGAGGAAAGATCTGCAGCAAAGATCAACTAATGTTGGTTTGAACCTTTTGGATCAAAGTAACTCAAAGGTGATTTTTCTCATTGCATATGGGAGTGTGAACATATGTCTTCCTGGAAAAGGGTGAGGGACATGATCAGTAAAATGACAAGTATTAATCTACCATTGTCAGTAAAAACATTTGTCCTTAAATTCCTTTTGCAAAGAAGGGAATACATTTTCCTTGACATGTTTGTTACAAGCTAAGCATCTTATAACTTCAAAGTCCAAGCACCACATGTAAATAAATGGCTGAAAGAAATGGCATCTAACATGTTCATGGAAGGGAAGGCCTGATTGTAACTCTACTGTATTTGCTGCCCTTTGACCTCCTCTGATTGTCCTCCAGTCGGTGTTCAACAGATGTTCCCAGTAAAGCAGCTCCTCACCTCCAGCCTGACATGCTCTCCGTCTGGTTTGGTACTCTCAGGGATGACTTGATCTGCGTCTCGTCTGGGATGTAATGATGTGTTACTTCCTCTGTTTACAGTAGGCCTGATATACGCGCTCAGACTGCAACCAGCACGGGAGGGAGGGAGACGCTGTGTGTGAATGACTGCTGATTCTATCAGGATAAGACCCGTCGCTCAGATTTCTGCTGATTTAAACGCTGGTTTCTGGGTTGAAATGAGCAGCGAGGTTCTGTTTGAAGAAGTAAAATAGAGACGTCTGCTTGGTTCTGATCCGGTGTTTTTACATGAAGGAGGATGCTGGTTCTCGTAAAAGGCGAGGTTATTTCTGACTGCCATGAGAACAGGGACCCAGCGGAGCGCTCATCAGCCAGCTTTGTCACCACGGCTACTGATGCCAGAATAATTACGCCAACCTCCACCCCAAATGAAAACCATATGAAAGCGAAACGCTGAACACACACACATACAAGATGCTGCAGCATTCCTCCACCAGCCGTCAAGTCTGCTGGATAATCACAGTTTCAGGAGGTTTGTGTTTCCCTTTTCCTTTTCTCAACTAAGACTTTGTGTTCTGAGGCCGAGCTAATCAGAGGTTCATTTTGAGGTTCGGGTCAGAATCAGCAAACCCTGACACTTTGGTTTTGGAGCTAGTAGCACCAGAGGATAATAAAGTATTATCTCTCCCATCGTGGCGGCTGTTGCATCTACGCTGCACGCAAACAGGAGAGAAATCACAGGCGTCCTATGAGGCCTGCATGGCGGCGCAGTCGGCCGCACTGATGCCTCGGAGCTACAAGGTCTGGGGTTCACATCCCGGCTTCAGTTTGCATGTTTTCCCCATGGATGAGTGGCTTCCTCCCACAGTCCTAAAACATAAATCTCTCTCTATAAGAGACCTTCTCCATGCTGTGTGGAGAAGGGGGATGCGTCCTCTGAAGTTTTTCTAAAGTCAGTTTTATCCACGCTACGGTACTCAGACAATCGTCGAGCACTAGGACCAAGCGGAACCCCGCAGCTCCAGCTGAAGCCACTGATCTTTCTTTATTCACCGGATTGCTGATTGGGTTGAAGTGAAGCCACCGGCCGCCATATTGGTACTCCCTAGTTGGACCGGTCCCAATGTAAACAATCTGTGAGCTTCAACATTGAACAACGACGATGATGTTTTCATTTTCAGATGGACTTAAGTCATTTTAAAACAAAGATAAATTTATCACTTTAACACAGACTGGCTGTTTCATAGCATCAGAAGATTACTGTAATTTATGATAAAAAAATAGGCCCACCACATTAAATAGTCATTATGAAGTCAATAAAGTCTATAAATCATGTAATATTACATATTATACAAATCCATCACAATAAGATGAATGTGTTAAAGGAGCAGAATAATACAGATGAGCTAAGTGCTAAATGGATATATATATTATTAGTAATTACATATTACATAGAATTTTAAGACTTAACATCAAGACTGAATTAAAAGTACATGTATGTTAATGACACATTTCATTACAATGTGTAATTTCTATTTCTAAAACCTAAGTAGCTAAAATACCAGGACTTGATAGAATACCAAATTGCAGTATTCATGTTCAAAGTAAGAAAACATACAAAAGATGTTTTCTGAAAGGGAGGGAGGCTACGATTTAAGGGGAAATTTTTAAGACTAATAGATGTAGAACAACAAGGAAAGAAATCTAGATAAGTCTTGTTCTTGGATTGAGGAGGTAAAAGAGACATTTTGCCAATGGAACAAGACAATTTACACTTAAAATAAGAAAACACAATTACATTGTCGTATTTCAAGTGCATTTTATCTATTTATCTTATTTTAAGAGTAAAAATACTCATTCCATTGGCAAACTATCTCATTTACCTACTCAAATTAAGGGTAAATACACTTAATTTAAGACATTTTTACTTATTTGTAGATAGTTTTTCCACTGTGTTGATAAACACAGTGGAAAAACTATCAGTTAAATTGTGGAACAAACTAAATGAGAACTTAAAGCAATGCCCAAATATATTCCTTTTAAAAAAAATGTACAAAGAATTTATTTTCAAAAAGTTTAGAGAAGCATTGTAGAAAGTTTTGTTTGTGTTTTTTGTTTTGTTTATTTGTATATATGTATAAAGGTATATGCGTATACATATTTATGTATGTATATGTGTAGGTAGGTATGTATTTATATGGATATATATATATATATATATATATATATATATAGCAACATGATTATAAATATTGTAAAATAAAGAAATACAAGAATTAAACATTGTTTTATTGGTTTTTTTTGTTTTTCTCTTGCATGTAAATAAAGAATAAAAAAAAAAACACATAAAAAATAACAGCATCGTCCACTTTCTAAAGAATTACTACATTGAGATTTCACAGTGAATGACTTTCTATTTTCTAATGTTAGACATAATGTCAGTGACTAACTCAGTCAATATCGGTCCCAGAGCCAGACTGTTACTCCACATACTATAAGGATACATCATATATATTCATTATATAAACTGATTTTCTTGGTTATTCATCCACTGAATATGAAATTACCTGTGAAACTTCTTCCTAACTGCTTGTTTTTGCAGCCAAATGCTGCACAGGGAGGCATAGTTATGGCGCGTCTCTGTAGGAGTGGGGAGTACCAATATGGCGGACGGTGGCTTCACTTTTTCTAACAAAGTGTCTACTTTACTTTTTCAATTGAAGAAAAAAAAATCCTTTATTTTAGTAAAAAATAGCTTATTTAAATTTCAGTTTTTGCCGTTTACTCCTGTTGTTCAGTAACTGAGGTGATGGAGGTTTAACCCAGCATCAATATTTGGAAAGCTGTGATTAGACGTTGGAACTTGTTTAAAGACAGATTCATATACAACCGCATTATGTTCCCAACTTCCTTCATCACAATAATAAAAGCTTAATCAGATGCAACATTCGGTGGAAAGTACTGCGACCTGCTTTCATGTTCTGCATAACTATGACGGATCGCTGAATAATTTCTGGGTGTTTCTTTATGACCACAGCAGGGCTGTTATGGACGGTGGGGGACTCACTGCAACAAGAAGAAAAAAGAGAACAATGCAAAAAGTGTCCATTATTGCACTTATTTTGAGTAAAATTATATGAAAATAGGATTAATAATCTAAGAGAATTTGGTTTTACGTGGAATATTAATCTCAAAACATCAAAAAGATTCCTGAGAGATCTGAGATCGTAAGACTTGGTTAGACGGACCCTTTTTTGAGTAAATCCAGAGAACAAGAAGTCCTCTTTGTTCTCATCATAGTTATTAGGAAGTGTTGCATTGAGATCTTCTCTTTAACTGATAGTTCTAGATCATTATGAGACAGAGGAAGGTGGGTCCAGGTGTTTATTTGTCCATTTCCTACTTTAGATCCAAGAAGACAAACGGGTAAAGTGGATAAAATATCTATAATTAGACATACAAACTCTACGTGTTTGGATGAAAGTTTGAAAATCTCCATGATGGGACTAAATATAGACCAATAAATTGAACAGGATGCTAATTTGGACTAAAGAAAGAGGCTCCATCAGAGGCACCATAACACTGAAACAGGAGAACGATCAAAGGCCTTAGCATGTCGCTCCTCCAGTGTTTCTAATGATGAAAAGTTGCCATGACGACCGGAGTTGTTGCCATGAGGAGTGACCCGGACGACGTGCCGGTCCAGTCCCAGTCTCCACCCAGCCACGGCGCAGCGAACCCTGGGCTGACATCATCTGTGTGTGCAGCTGCTGCGTTTGCATGAGAGTTCAGGAAGGTTCACGGTGATTTATGGAGGAGAACTCAGGCTGGAAACGAGACATCAGAGTTCTGGACGGACGGGATAAAGAGACACAGAAAGAAACCAAACAACAAACTAGATATGGATAAAAATCAAACAGACGGTTCAAAGAGCTGAAAGTATGTGATGGTGGGATTAGATTCTTCTGTCTTTTAGCCCACTCTCTCACACTCAGGGGCGGATTTACCATTAGGCAAAACTAGGCAGTTTCCTGGGGGCCCCAAGTTCCTGGGGGCCCCATACAGCTCTGTTTAAATGTATAGATATTACAGCTATTCCTTATTTGTGAACATTAATTATGTTTTTGATTAAAAAAGTTTGCTAAAATGCCATCAGAACGCTGATAATATTAAGTGTGTCTCAGCCCCCCCCCTTCAGTGTCCACCATATTGGATCAGTCCATTTGTTGCACATGTTCAGAAAGGTCCAAACAGACAGCAGCAAACCATTTGAAAACAAACCATGCAAAGAGCAGTGTTGCCAACTTAGCGCTTTAGTCGCTATATTTAGCCACTTTTCAGACCCCTCTAGCACTTTGATTTCTAAAAAGCTCCTAGCGCCAAATCTAGAGACTTTTTTCTGCTACTGGAGACTTTGGAGACAACATCTAAAAGCAGCGAACTCTGCTCTCCAGAGCGAGTAGATTGGTAACCCCGCCTCCTGCTCTCCTCTATCTTGTCTGCTGAAGGAAAAGAAGGACTGTGTTATTTACTTTTGCTGTCGCCTTTTTGAAAACACAGAAAGGAGCAATCAGCTAAGTTAGAATTCAATTCTATTCAGTGTATTTCTATAGCTCCAATTCACATCATGTCATCTCAGGTCACTTTCCAGTTCACCAGATCATCCAGTCAGATTGATTCAAAGTTTTCTATCTAAGGAAAACCAGCTGATTGCATCGACTCATTGACTCTTCAGCAATCCCTCACACTAAGCATGCTTGTAGCGACAGTGGAGAGGAAAAACTCCCTTTGAACAGGAAGAAACCTCCAGCAGAACCAGGCTCAGTGTGAGCGGCCATCTGCTGAGGCCCACTGGGGTTCAAGGAGACAGAAGCAGACATAGAAAAAGAAGCATAGATACAAAAGGCAACCAGCTCCACAGGCGGCCCCGTCCAGGAAACACACAGCCAGGCAGACGAGCTCCGAGCCAGCTCCCATGTCAGAGGATGAAGAGAGCACATCCAGTTAGTCACAGTCAGAGAAACAGGTCTACACTGGAAAACAGGCCAAGCTCCAACATCTAGAAACAAAGGTGTTGATGGCAGCAGCACAGCTGATATTTCTCTCCAGGATGGAGTCACAGCAAAACAGGAACAGACGAGGCAAAGCTAGAATGGGCATGGTGATTGGAAATTCTTTTATTCCTTGTGAGACGGCATGAAAAGTCATCTGAGCACATTTCCAACACGAAATGAAAAAGGGACAGAACGTAGAACAATTATGGTATGTCCATTCTATAAAAATGTCTGTATCTGTATAATGGGTGTGTTTCATGTGTTCCCATTTCAAAGGGCCCCGTGCCTTTCTTTGCCTAGGGCTCCAAAATTCCTAAATCCGCCCCTGCTTACATTCACTAGTTTCCTGAAGGTCCCACTGTAACAGAAAAGGTTAAAACAAGTCTTTGACTAGGCCATTCCATCGACTGGATTGTTCTCTTTCTCAGCACTCTGTCGTAGATCGGCTGTTGAATTCGGGGTTGTTGTGTTTGTGACCCAGTTGGGACCAGACTGTTGGACTCACAGAGCATTACAGGGTGTATAGAACCAGCCAGAAGCATCATCCCTCCACCGCTGTGCTTCACAGCTGATAATGACAGATTCTGGTTTCACTCAGACAGGCTCTACTTTATGGTCAAACATTTCTACTTTGGTCCTGTCTGTAAAGGTTCATACCACCTTTACAGAAAGCTGTTTTTAAACTGTAAACGGTAGCAGTAATTAAATTAGAAAGCCGATTAGGATGTGATGATGCTATCTGAGCGCGTTCATTCGTTCAGCCCAGTGGACATTCATCCAGTCAGGCTGTTCTCTGCTGCAGTTATCCATCACTCTGCTCCTTTTATCTCCTGCTTGTACAATCCGCCCCAGCCTGCAGAAAGATCACCCACAATGCACCAGGGTCGGCCTCCTCCTGATGGTCGTTACTGTGGAGACGGAGACAATGAGGGGCCAATTATAAAGAGAAAGGATGAGCGGGTTGAAGTGTGGGAGGACACATTGATGTCTGTTTCCACCTGGTGCAAGACGGCTCTGATGAATCACCAGGTCTTACTGGTTGGGCTGAAAGCAGCAGATTCAAACCATCCTCCAGATTGTCCTCCTTTACTTCCTTTATTCTGAGCCTTGGTTCCATTAATGAAGCTGCATGCATGAACTGGAACAGATGGGATTTCCTCTGAGGGGTCATTTTATTTATTCTGTACTGAGGAAATCAAAGGGTTGAAATGGACAGTTAAAATTCTATTCAGTTTATTTCTATAGCTCCAATTCACATCATGTCATCTCAGGTCTCTTTCCAGTTCACCAGATCATCCAGTCAGATTGATTCAAAGTTTTCTATCTAAGGAAAACCAGCTGATTGCATCGACTCATTGACTCTTCAGCAATCCCTCACACTAAGCATGCTTGTAGCGACAGTGGAGAGGAAAAACTCCCTTTGAACAGGAAGAAACCTCCAGCAGAACCATGCTCAGTGTGAGCGGCCATCTGCTGAGGCCCACTGGGGTTCAAGGAGACAGAAGCAGACATAGAAAAAGAAGCATAGATACAAAAGGCAACTGTAAAAGGGGAACACTGTTTTTTTTTTTACATTGGCCCCTTAATCCCCAGCAGCAGCTGCCTCAGGCCCGCTCGCCTCTCCAGGGTTTTCCCCTCCTGTTGGTGGCGGCTGGAAGTAGATGTTAGCGTTTTTCAGGTCTGTGCTACAAACTGCAGGCAGCAGGATAATAAAAGCCAACATATTCTGCCGGCAGGTTTCTACATTTGAAGTTAATTTAGGCGTTAATAAACTGTTTCAGAGGAGTGATCATAGCGCTCTGCATCAGCAGTGCTGCGTCTGACTCCCTGCCAGCTCCCAGATCAGCTTCTCTCATTGGTTGATGCGGCGCGTCCAACATCAGGTGTGGGACTTTTTCCTGCGCCTTGATGCTCGTCAAACATTGACTTTCCATGTAAACTAGCTGCTTCTGCTGCCTCAGCTGCTTGCGGTCTGAACGTAGCATCAGGAGTTGTATAAAAGTAAGACAATGAAATGGAGGTTGGCTTATAAATATATTTTATATTTGAGATCTATTCAACTATTTTTGAATCGATATAATCTAATAAAATATTGGATATTTGACAGAATAGATTTCTTTTCTTATCCTTGAGCATCAGACAGGCAGGAACACATTAAAACAGTCACTATGCAATAATTTTCCTGAGTCAGCTGATGTGTTGGCGTGGAAAGAAGCTCTATTATAGCCCCTCTAGCAGAGCTGATTGTTTAAAACCTTATTTCTGCCTCGCTGCAGCAGTGAGGGAGCTGCCGCCTATCTGCAACGATGTCCGCCAGAAGCATCGGCTCTCCATCGACACCCTGCCTCCTGAAGTCAAAGCCCCGTTCCCCTCCGACCCCATCATCCCCCTCCGTACCAAGACCACCAGGGAGTTCCAGTGAGTCTCCTCTGGACAATTAACGAAGCATCCCAGAATGCTCCTCACTCTACAGCTTTGCTGTGTTTCCAACAGGGAGGACGTGGAGCGCGCCGTTCACTCAGGTGACTGGAGGGAGGTCAGAGAGTTCTACCTGACCACCTTCGACTCCTTCATAGAAATCAACGCCGCCTTCAAGGTAAAGACCTGACAGAAATCTCTCCCTCTGCTTACGTCTGCTTCCGTTTTCCTCACCGTGCGTCCTTCTTCTCCCAGCGGGAGGCCAACGGATTGTTTAACACTATCGAGGACTCAGGGGTCAACGCCAAGTTCGTCAACGCCGTTTACGACTCGCTCCTCGGCACAGTAAGTGAGACAGAACCGCTAAAGCGGCTTCTTCTCTGCAGACTTTTCTCTTTCTAGTTTACTTTCTTTTTATGTCTTATGATTCTGATGTTTCTATTTAAACCTGATATTAAAATAAAACCAAAACAAACGGTAAATGGTTGATAGGGTCAACCTTTACTGATTTATTTTATTTATTTCATTCAGACAAAAAACAAAGACTGTGTTTACATTGCCAATATTAGTACTAATATATTACTGAAAGGCTGAAGCAAAGCAGGTGATTTCCTGCCTTCTTACAACAAAATGAAGCTACGTTTCACCTGACAGGAAGGAGCTCAGACATAAAACAAGAAAATAAACTTTACTTTGGATTATTTTTATATATAATGTTGTAAACAGCTTTTTAGAAAAACTAAGAAGGATGTACATGACTTTTGATTTCCTTTATTACTTTCTGTAAGATGAATTAACGTTTAACCCTTTTTTTTAGGTCTGATATGTTAAACAGTTAGATTTATAACAAGGCAACTTACTTCCAGTTTCTTAATAATAAATAAAAATCATCAGTTAACGTAAGAAAAATTAATAGTAAGTCTGTTTTGAGTGTCAGAATATCAGCGTTTTTAGAGTTCTCACATTTTTTAAGTTAGTAAAATTATTATTTTTTTAATCAACTGTATAAGGGAAGTATTAAATAATATCCATATAAGAGGCAGGTTTACAGACTTTGTGTTGTTAAAGATAAAACAACATGAGACTTAATCAGATGAAGTTAAGTCATGTTGAACGTTTAATGTTTGGATAGTGGGCTCTATGACACTCTGGGCAGATTTATTTTTTACATCTGAAGAGAAAAAATCTAACCTTAACCCTTTAAAGCCAAGTGTATCATATTTGATACAGGACGTTTTGAAACCTCTGCATCATCAGTGGGATGTTTTTGTTCTTGAAACCCTGACTTACATAATCAGACACATGTAGTGAACAGAAAACATAGAAAAGATGATATAGAAATGAGTAATATGTCAAAATTGATGCAAATAAATGATGTAATTTTATGTTTTTACAGATTTTATATAGTTATCTCATTTTTTCAGAAAGTTCAATTACAATTCTAATTTTGGAAAATTAGAATCTTCTGTCAATTATTTGCTGGTTCAGGCTTTAAAGGGTTAAACAGGGAGGGGCTCAGGTTTCAGATTTCTGAATCGATAGAGTTGATTCCTTCCTCCTATCAGAATCATCATCTCCATGACAACTCGTCTGGTCATCCAAGCCAACAATGCCCCTAACGACCCCCCATTCAGAGCCATAGACCAGTATCGGGGTATTGCAGGCTAACAAAGACCTTAATGACTCTCGTTTCATTAGGGGCGGACCTGTTCTTGTGGTTCAATTTCCATGTTTTGTAAGCCAAACCAGGCTTTGTTGGGCTGCAGGATAAAACCTGGAACTTCACGCTATTTTTGACATTTTTTTTATTGAAAAATCTTCCTGGATGGGAAGAGAAACGTCTTCAAACCTGGAAACAAAGTCCAGTGGATTGATTTTTAACTTTTTTGGAAAATCTGAAGAGACATTAGCTTCCCCTGACCACTAGGGGCGCACTGTACGATTTAGTCTCTGCTTCCTGTGAGGACTTTAGACCTTAAAGGCATACTATGCAACATTTTTCAGCTAATTAATGTGTTCCATAACGTTCTGGATGATTAAATGAGTCATTTCAGGTCGAACAAAGGTTTTCTCGGCCGCCCTGGTGGTCTGTGGGGGAAATACCGCACTTGCAATTGCAGGAGCCCTCTTACTTTATGGCGAGAACTGCTACACGCCCCCAGTGAAAGGCATGCTCGTTGCTAGCGCAGTGGCGATATTTGTTCAGTTATCATGGCGGAACAGGCGAGAATTTTCAAACTTGAAAATTGGAACAAAATAGTCACTTACCGCAGAAGACATGGTGATTGGTTGCGTTCACCTGTCTGCTAAGCTCAAAACAACCTCGCCTGGCTTGACGGAGAAACCAGGAGAACAGCGGAGCATATTTACGGCGGTGCACTTTTTCTTTCGCCCTCTGGGGGGAGACTCGCTGGAAAATCAACACCGGTTGCATAGTGTACCTTTAAATACATCATTGCAACAGCTGCATGTCATATTCAGTTATAAGGTTAGTTTACAGTAGATGTTTATATGACTTTATTTCTTTAATTAAAGAGGGACAATATGGACCATCAGCTGCAGAGGGTTTTCCTTTGTGAGTCGCTGACTTGTTGACTGAAGCGTTTGTTTTTCTGTTCAGCCTCAGGACATCCAGAAGTCTGTTTTAAAAGGGATCATCAACAGCCTGCTTAGAGAGTGGAAAGGGTGAGAGAACCGCGCATGTTTCCTTTTCTTTCTCGATTAAAAATGCTCCCTTTTTAGCCTTTTCCTTGAGATTTGTTTCTAAATTTAACAAGTTTCCCTTTTTTGCAGCCCTCGGACAAAAGACGACCTGCGAGCATATTTTGTTCTAATTCAGGTGAGACTGAAAGCTGCTTTGATGGATTGAAAATCTTTTAATGTTCCTACTTAAAGGAAAAGTCCGGTCAGCAAAGAATAATCAATGGATCATTATTTATACCTAAAAGGAATACGTTCGCAGTGATTTGAGGAATTTAGCGTTAATCAGTCAAAAATTAAAAACTATTTTCGTCGCGATCACTGTGCGGTAAGCCTAGCGCCATTCTCCCCGCTTTCCAAGCTAAATCAATGGGAACTACTAGACACATCTGCAATCAACAACAATTATTGAAGATTTCCAGAGGACTTCACCATTGAAATTCACCAGAGCTATAGTGAAACTGACAATGCCCACGTGCATGGCAGCTGGATGCTGGAATACATCGGGTAAAAGTGAAAAAAAAGAGTTATTCACACCGTGACGTCACTAACCAGTAGTTGGCAGTAGTGTTCTTTGACAAACATGGATGCCTCCAGTAAAGATTTTTCCTTTAAAGATGTAGTTATAAAAAAAAAAGTCAGACACACATATCTGTCTTCTGTTTAAAGCGTCTTAAGATCAATAACGCCAAAATCTAGATGCTGCAATATGACATCATTGGCTGATTTGGTCATGGTTTGATCAACGTGGAGGGCAGAAAGTGATAAAAAAAAAAACCTGAATAATATTTAAAACTACAAATGACCTCTATGACACTAAGAATTGAATTATTTATCAATACTTTGTTTGAACCCAGACTACACTAGTTTATAAATTCTCCAACAAAGTCACCAAGTTGGCAACAACAATCAGGGAGTCATCTTAGCGGTTGCTATGGTGATTCCCCTGTTTCCTAGTGAGCAGCACAGACCTTACGTACTTAGACGCCTCATTGGATGCTGCCCGATGTGCCTAGAGGGCGGCCATCTTGGATCAGACCACAGTTCAGATAGCTGCTGTGAGAATGAATAGGAGGCGCCTTAGATCTCATTTTATTACATGAAAGATGATACAAAACAATTATTATTAACCCTAAAAACTACATATGCTGAATCCTGAAGTTCTTGCTAACAGAGTTGAGGATTATTTTTTTTCCATCAGTCTGGCCTGATCTTTATTTTATTTATCTTTATTCCTGCTCTCTTTCTGTTTGGATCCGGTTTTCCATTTTTCCATCTCTGCAGCCTGACAGCCATATATGGGAGTCCCATTAAAGCAGGAAACCCTACCTAAGGGTGCCAATGGAACGAAATTCAGACTCTGTTCGGCTCCTTCCTTCTTTTTATAGGTCAGTTGTGCTGCTTCATCTCAAATATGACTTTAGGATTAGCAGCTTAATCATAGACGATTTTCAGCAACGATGCGCCGTAAAGCATCCAACCCAGACCCGCTTTATATCTGAAGGAGATCCGATAGGTTCTGTTAAAATGTGTGAGTAAACCAGCCTGCTGATCGGACCAACAGCAGAAACATTAAAGTTTCAACAGATGACAAGAAGCTGGACTTTGACTGAATTGGTTTGTTGATGCCTCTCACAGTTTTTGCACAATCCCGTTTATTTCCACTGAAGGTTCTGGTCAGTGTGGGATGATGTCAGACTCCAGATTCTGACACAGTTAATATTTAGACACTTTCTGGCCCCAGTTTCATTCTGATGTTTATGGTTTGCACAATAAATCTTGGCTGTTTTTTTTCTAATAGCCTGTATAAATGTTAATGTCTCTATTTCCTGCTACATTAAATGAGGTCATCCTAGATTTAGTATAACAGTTTCCTGTTTCTACCCTCTATTTGGGGTCAAATAGAAACAGGCTAATTTTCAAACCTTACATGTACCTTTAAAAATAAAGGTGGATCATAACTGAGAAATCAATAAGATAGTTTTAAATTCTTTTTTCTGTTGTTCGGAGGTCTCAGACTAAACCGTATTGATTGTCTTTGCATCTTGCTTTGAATCATGTTTATATTTATTTATAATAAGAGCTTAGAAGAAATTGAGTTATCCCCAATTTCAAAGATGCATCCTTTGAACTTTTGGTCAAATAAAAGGAAAAAGAATGAAAATTCTACCAAAACATAGAAAAGTTTAAAGCTACAGTGTGTAATAATTACAGGGATATAAAGTCAGAAATTTAATATATTATACATAACTATGTTATTTATCATCACCTATGAGCTCAGCCATTTAACCATAATATTTGCGTTGCCTTAGAATTCGTTATTTATAATTACATAGGAGCGGGTCTCGCAGCCATGGAGGCTGACATCTTTGCGCTACGGCAGCCCAGAGGCAACAAACTAGCGATTGCGAGATCGCCCATTACGCTCGAAAATAACTACGGCAAGTTGAGAGAGATGAACTGAGACGGTACTGAACAGTAGATGGCAGCATTATGCCTGAGAAGCGTTTAGTCTGCCTGAAACCAAAGAAGAAGAAGAAGCAGGTATACTGCGCCTCGGTAACAAGAAAGGTAAACAAGGCGGCAGGCGTGAGTGACTTTGCAAACTGTTTGGCACTGTGTGGCCAAACATCAGACGAATGGAGGATCATGCCTACTCTGTATCACAATGAAAAGCGGCGGACACCGAACCCCCGTCATCTAAGAAGCGGAAACACGACGAGAATAAACGCAAGCGTGACAAGAAACGACAAAAAACACGGATCAACATTGGCACGGCATTTACACGATGGAAGTCACTGATGGAGGAAAAAGGTTTTCAAAGTGACGCTCAAGTTGCCAGTTTTCTCTTGGACAGGTAATTAATCCTACACACACAATTGTCTAATATCACTGCAGTTTTTGGAGTACAGGATGCTCAGACCTGTCTAAAACAATAACATGCTGCGTGATGATGCTGTTCCTCTCCAGTATACTTATTCAGCAACGTCCCTGACGTTTCACAGGTAATGATTCAGTAATTTTCTGTAAAATAATTTTCTGGATATATACCTCGGTTACTTCTCTCCGGCTCCTTTGGAGATCTTCAAGCCTTTCCTCCTCTGCTCTCACCCCGCTGGCTCCCCTCTCTCGCCTGGCCCTAGCTGCACGCCCTCGCCCTCTTCCTCTCCCTCTTCCTCGCCTTGTAACCCCCGTGCCACAAACAAGACTTGGACTCTGTAAACGGGGAATATATATTCTTCTAGCGAACAAAATCTCGCTGTTAAACTAATGACTACAATTCCTTCGTCTGTTTATATCACCATGCAAAGCAGCTCACCAAGACGTCACAACGATGTAGAAAAAATAACGGGTATATTTATTATCTTAAGTCTACATGAAATCTATACCCTACACAGACTAATGAAATACTATCTGTAAAATTATCTATGTAAACAAACCTCATCACTTGAGAAGGTAGGTGATTCCGACGTCGTGGAAGGCATTTTGTCCCCTAACGCTTGCCGTACTGTTGGGGGGGAGAAGCGGTGGGGGGGAGACGTTCATTTTGCTGCAGTCTGCAGTCTGGACGTTAGATGTCGCTGAAAATTACACACTGTAGCTTTAACTCATTACAGAGTTTTATTCGTTGTTCTAATTATATCATTTACCAAACAGACTATCCGATCTATTTCCCTTAGGCAAAATATCCATTCAGGTCTTTATTCTTAACACCCACCTCACCTATTCTGCATACCCAAATGGAAAAGCTAATAACTGAGGAACTGTAAGCCCAAACTACATGTGTGATTCATCATTTAAAAGCTAAAACCTTCTAGTTTCTGAATATATAAATGTATATTGGTTGAGTAAAACACAGACTAAGCTGCATCGGTTCAAACATGATTCAAAGTTGTTTTTACTTCTCAAAAATAATAGGTCTTTTTTGAACAGCAGTAATAAAGACATGCTTGAAAATAGGCGTGTTTTATTATATTTAGTTTGTTCTGCATCAGGTCAGGAAAGTTTTCCAGCATGTGATGATTATCAAACATGAACTTTTTAACCCTGATGTTTGCAGAATCCTCAGTATTCCAGTACCAGCACCTACGTGATTTTCGCTCACCTACTGAGGCAGATCGCAGCGTTGTCTGAGGCCGACCACCACTACCTGGTCCACTGGCTCAAGAGGCAAGTCTCTCTAACTGGCAGAGATGGCAAAAGTACTCACTTTCCGTACTTGAGTAAAAGTACAGATACTTGTGTTAAAAAATACTCTGGTAAAAGTGGAAGTACTGATTAAACTTCTTTACTCAAGTAAAAGTAACAAAGTACAGGCTTGTAAATTTACTTAAAGTATAAAAGTAAAAGTAGAAACCACTTTTTTCATGCCGTTGCCTACATTTTAAATGGATGTCTGCCAATAGGACTAGATCTCCGTTGTGTTCATTTTCAATCATCTCGTCGTCCATGCTACTATGCTAACGCCACCGCCACCAAGCTGCAATGATTTGCCGCCAATGAATACCGCCGAATCTGTCGATTCATCTTGTAGTGGTGCGTCAAATGCAACGTAGATTCCCATCCAATTAGATTGAATTTGGTATTGATGACGTGAAAAATAATAACGGTAACTCCATTGAAATGATTCAAAACTAAAGTAACGAGACAATTTTTTAAAATGTAAGGAGTAGAAAGTACAGATATTTGTGTAAAAATGTAAGGAGTAGAAGTAAAAAGTCGCCATAAAAATAAGTAGTAAAGTAAAAATATCAGAAAAATCTACTTGAGTACAGTAACAAAGTATTTGTACTTCGTTACTTCCCATCTCTGTTAACTGGGAACAGATTTTTATATTTTTAACCAAATATTTAAGGAATTTATTGAACCGAATGAAAGAATATTTGTAGAAAACATGTACTTTGTAGTTCACTGAAGGCGACTTGGTCTTCTGGTCAATTTACAGTAACTCAATGGCTTCATTGAGTGAAAAAACAAATCTAAGAGTCGTCAGGAGAGAAAAATCTACATTTATGAAGTTATCAGCCAGCATTTTATCTTTATCTAGCAATAGTTTCTATTCTATAACTTTTCTATATTCCTACTGCTATAAGGAGGTCAGGTGTGGTGAAGAACTGAGAGGATTGGGGTGGTGGAAATTCAAGGGTCGTGAGGTGTGTGTTGGGAAAGGACCGATGGACTCAAACCGGGAAGGACAGGTGGAAGCGGGAGGAAGGAGAGGTGGAAGCGGGAGGAAGGAGAGGTGGAAGCAGGAGGAAGGAGAGGTGGAAGCAGGAGGAAGGAGAGGTGGAAGCGGGAGGAAGGAGAGGTGGAAGCAGGAGGAAGGAGAGGTGGAAGCAGGAGGAAGGAGAGGTGGAAGCAGGAGGAAGGAGAGGTGGAAGCGGGATAAAGGAGAGGTGGAAGCAGGAGGAAGGAGAGGTGGAAGCAGGAGGAAGGAGAGGTGGAAGCAGGAGGAAGGAGAGGTGGAAGCAGGAGGAAGGAGAGGTGGAAGCAGGAGGAAGGAGAGGTGGAAGCAGGAGGAAGGAGAGGTGGAAGCGGGAGGAAGGAGAGGTGGAAGCAGGAGGAAGGAGAGGTGGAAGCGGGATAAAGGAGAGGTGGAAGCAGGAGGAAGGAGAGGTGGAAGCAGGAGGAAGGAGAGGTGGAAGCAGGAGGAAGGAGAGGTGGAAGCAGGAGGAAGGAGAGGTGGAAGCAGGAGGAAGGAGAGGTGGAAGCAGGAGGAAGGAGAGGTGGAAGCGGGAGGAAGGAGAGGTGGAAGCAGGAGGAAGGAGAGGTGGAAGCAGGAGGAAGGAGAGGTGGAAGCAGGAGGAAGGAGAGGTGGAAGCAGGAGGAAGGAGAGGTGGAAGCGGGATAAAGGAGAGGTGGAAGCAGGAGGAAGGAGAGGTGGAAGCGGGATAAAGGAGAGGTGGAAGCGGGAGGAAGGAGAGGTGGAAGCGGAAGGAAGGAGAGGTGGAAGCGGAAGGAAGGAGAGGTGGAAGCAGGATAAAGGAGAGGTGGAAGCAGGAGGAAGGAGAGGTGGAAGCAGGAGGAAGGAGAGGTGGAAGCGGGAGGAAGGAGAGGTGGAAGCAGGAGGAAGGAGACGTGGAAGCAGGAGGAAGGAGAGGTGGAAGCAGGAGGAAGGAGAGGTGGAAGCGGGATAAAGGAGAGGTGGAAGCAGGAGGAAGGAGAGGTGGAAGCGGGATAAAGGAGAGGTGGAAGCGGAGGGAAGGAGAGGTGGAAGCAGGATAAAGGAGAGGTGGAAGCAGGAGGAAGGAGAGGTGGAAGCAGGAGGAAGGAGAGGTGGAAGCGGGAGGAAGGAGAGGTGGAAGCAGGAGGAAGGAGACGTGGAAGCAGGAGGAAGGAGAGGTGGAAGCGGGATAAAGGAGAGGTGGAAGCGGGAGGAAGGAGAGGTGGAAGCGGAAGGAAGGAGAGGTGGAAGCGGAAGGAAGGAGAGGTGGAAGCAGGATAAAGGAGAGGTGGAAGCAGGAGGAAGGAGAGGTGGAAGCAGGAGGAAGGAGAGGTGGAAGCGGGAGGAAGGAGAGGTGGAAGCAGGAGGAAGGAGACGTGGAAGCAGGAGGAAGGAGAGGTGGAAGCAGGAGGAAGGAGAGGTGGAAGCGGGATAAAGGAGAGGTGGAAGCGGAAGGAAGGAGAGGTGGAAGCAGGATAAAGGAGAGGTGGAAGCGGAAGGAAGGAGAGGTGGGAGCGGGATAAAGGAGAGGTGGAAGCGGAAGGAAGGAGAGGTGGAAGCGGGATAAAGGAGAGGTGGAAGCGGAAGGAAGGAGAGGTGGAAGCAGGATAAAGGAGAGGTGGAAGCGGAAGGAAGGAGAGGTGGAAGCAGGATAAAGGAGAGGTGGAAGCGGAAGGAAGGAGAGGTGGAAGCAGGAGGAAGGAGAGGTGGAAGCAGGAGGAAGGAGAGGTGGAAGCAGGATAAAGGAGAGGTGGAAGCGGAAGGAAGGAGAGGTGGAAGCGGGATAAAGGAGAGGTGGAAGCGGAAGGAAGGAGAGGTGGAAGCAGGATAAAGGAGAGGTGGAAGCAGGAGGAAGGTCAGAACCGGAGCACTGCAGAGGATAAGAATAGAAAACAGGCAGAGTAACAGCATTTAGGTTGTTTCTGTTGGTTCTGATTTGAACCAACTCGCAGCCCTGGAAGGTAAATCTGTTTATAATTTCTGCTCTAAAACATCTCCTGGTTTATTCATGAGTATCTTACTTCAGTTGATGAAATTCTAACCGTCTACAGACCGATTGATGGAAGCTGTTCAGGTTGACTCAGAGACTGAGGACCAATGTAAGGCAGCTTCTGTATCCGTCTCCCTCAGCGTGAGTCAGGAGCTTTTGAAAACATCTTCTTTGTGGTGATGATTTTAGAGCAAGCTGCTTCAAATTAGAGGTTCTGTTTAGTTCTGCTCAAATCCAGAAAGCCACTTTTTTCCAGCCGACGCTGCTTTTCCTTTCCCTCTCTCCGTGTCTCTATTTTGGCGCTCCTCTTTGTTCACATTTAACTCCTTCATGCCATCTGGTCCCTCAGGCTGTCAGCCAGGCGTTTCCGGCAGCTGGTGGAGCGCCTCCTACAGTTCATCTCCACGCGCCTGTTTCCTGCAGAACCAGACGAGCTTCCTCCTTCAGCCAAGTGTTCCTGGTGGATTCCCTCTGCCACCAAAGTCCTCAGCCTGTTCAGTGAGTCTCTGCAGCACCGCAGCATGTGTTTTATCCACTGATCCTTCCTAATGTTTGACGTTCTCTTCCTGTCAGATGCAGCCAACAGCGTCTCCTCTCCTCCCATCATGCCATTCACCGACTTCTACAACATTACGCTGGAGCACATAGACTTCATGGAGGATTACAGAACCTGGCAGAACTACGGCAACTCAAATAGGTCAGTTAGTGTCTCGTTTATTTGATGCTCTGTCCGTTAGAGTTTTGCTTACAATTGAAGTTTGCAAACCTGTAAACTGAAAGTATGATTTGGGTAATGCTGCACCTTTGGGAGAGGCTCCATGTTTTCTCATAGTAGCTTCATCTGGTCTGTTCCTGTTTGGCTGTGACTCCATCCTGGAGAGAAATATCAGCTGTGCTGCTGCCATCAACACCTTTGTTTCTAGATGTTGGAGCTTGGCCTGTTTTCCAGTGTAGTCCTGTTTCTCTGACTGTGACTAACTGGATGTGCTCTCTTCATCCTCTGACATGGGAGCTGGCTCGGAGCTCGTCTGCCTGGCTGTGTGTTTCCTGGACGGGGCCGCCTGTGGAGCTGGTTGACAGTTGCCTTTTGTATCTATGCTTCTTTTTCTATCTCTGCTTCTGTCTCCTTGAACCCCAGTGGGCCTCAGCAGATGGCCGCTCACACTGAGCCTGGTTCTGCTGGAGGTTTCTTCCTGTTCAAAGGGAGTTTTTCCTCTCCACTGTCGCTACAAGCATGCTTAGTGTGAGGGATTGCTGAAGAGTCAATGAGTCGATGCAATCAGCTGGTTTTCCTTGGATAGAAACTTTGAATCAATCTGACTGGATGATCTGCTGAACTGGAAAGTTCCTTGAGATGACACGTGTTGTAAATTGGGACTAAGAAATAAACTCAATTAAATTTAATTTAATTAATAAGTTGAATAGAATGTTTTTTTTAAGTCTAGTTTAACAATTTCTAATCCAAATAAACTTAATATTTCGTGGACTTTAATATGTGGTCTGCAGCAGAACAATAGTCTTAGAACTTGAAAAGCAAAGACTCCAGATCTTGAGACGGCCTAGTCAAAGTCCAGACCTCCGTCTCTCTGCATGCTGTGGTGGAATATTCAGAACGCCGTGCAGGAATCTCTGAGAAGAGAGGAACATCATTCCTCTTGTGGGAGGTAAGCCTCCTCAAAAGGAAGTTTAAATATGGAAAACTAGATCATTACTCATGAGTCATAGATAATTTTTCTAGAGTTAAATCCGAGAGGACTTTATTTTTTCAGTAGCTACATGTTTCTGTCAGATTACTTGGTTTTCCATCATTGTCTGATCGTATGCTGACAGCCCACAGAGGCAGCTTCAGGCTCCCCAGGCTGTGATCTAAAGAGAAAGGAGTCCGACGCTGCTTTAACCGGGACGAGCTCCTTCTGAAGATTCCTGAAAGTCAGATGGAGCGGAGATGAGGAAATGTTCCCACAGCTGCAGTTAGTTCAGAACCGTGAAGACTCTCCCAGAAGTTTGTTTCACGCTGTGTCACATCTAGTTATGTTTAGATGACTCTGATCCAGTCTGTGCTTCCAACAGACCCGTATGTGGAGGAAAGACCTCCCAGGTCATGACAGATAGAATGGGTCGGATTTGAAGGTGAAGAGGGTCAGTAATTAAACGATCGACTGTTTTTGGTTCCTCAGGTTTTCTTTTTGTCAGTTTCCCTTCATTCTGTCTACTGTGGTGAAGAAGGCCATCATCCAGAAAGACTCGGAGCAGCAGATGATCAGTCAGGCCAGAGTGAGCATTGAAAATAAAAGCTTTAGTGAGTCTAGAAGGTGAAGTTCTACAGAGAAAACTAACGTCTGTTTGATCTTTACAGCTAAGCCTGGTGAGCAAAGTTTCCAGGAGGCAGAGGGTCGATATGAACCTTCTGTTTCTGAACATCAAAGTTCGACGAGCACAACTCCTCAACGACTCGCTGGATGAGGTCAGGATGGATGGAGGGATGATGGATGGATGGATGATGGATGGATGGATGGATGATGGATGGATGGATGGATGATGGATGGATGGATGGATGGATGGATGGATGATGGATGGATGGATGGAGGGATGATGGATGGATGGATGATGGATGGATGGAGGGATGATGGATGGATGGAGGGATGATGGATGGATGGATGATGGATGGATGGAGGGATGATGGATGGATGGATGGAGGGATGATGGATGGATGGATGATGGATGGATGGATGGATGATGGATGGATGGATGATGGATGGATGGATGTATGGAGGATGAGGGATGATATGGATGGGGGATATGGATGGATGAGGTCAGATGGTGGAGGGATGATGGATAGGGATATGAGGAGGGAGGGATGGAGGGATGAGGGATGGATGGAGGGATGGATGGGATGGATGGATGGTGGGAGGGATGGATGGAGGGATGGATGGATGGATGGATGGAGGAGGGGATGGATGGGGGATGATGGATGGGGGGATGAGGAGGGATGGAGGGAGGAGGGAGGTTGGGAATGGATGGATGGATGGATATGGATGGATGGATGGATATGGATAGGGAGGGGAGGATGATGGAGGGATGGAGGATAGGGGATGGATGGATGGAGGGGATGGATGGAGGATATGGAGGGGTGGATGGATATGGGGGTGTGGATGGATGTGGAGGGATGATGGGGGATTGGAGGGGATGAGGGGGGATGATGGATGGAGGGATGATGAGGGTGGATGGGGGGATGAGGGAGGGAGGGATGAGGAGGGATGGGGGGATAGGAGGGATGGGGGGATGATATGGGGGGGTTTGATGATGGAGGGATGGAGGGATGTTGAGGATTGGAGGGATGGGGGATGGGGGATGATGGGGGATGGATGGGGATGGAGGGATGGAGAGGATGGGGGATGGATGGATATGGAGGGGTGGGGGGAGGAGGATAGGGGGGATGGAAGGGGGAGGGAGGAGGGAGGGATGAGGGGATGGTGATGGATGGAGGGATGAGGAGGTGGATGGGGAGGATGGAGGATGGTATAGGGAGGAGGGGATGGATGGATGGATGAGGAGGGAGGGATAGGGTGGAGGGATGGAGGGATGGGGGATAATGGATGGAGGGTTTTGATGTGGGGATGGATGGAGGGAGGGTGGATGGATGGATGGAGGGAGATGGAGGGAGGTGAGGGGAAATGGAGGGATGGAGGGTTTATGGAGGATTGGTGGATGGAGGATGGAGGGATGGTGAGGGATGGATGGATGGATATGGAGGGAGGTGGATGGAGGTGGGGGGATGGAGGATGGATGGATGGTGGGGAGGAGGGAGGATGTTGAAGATGGATGGATGGATGGAATGGGGGATGGATGGAGGATGGGGGGAGGATGGATGGGAAGGAGGAGGATGGGGATGTAAAGGAGAGGATGGTTGAAAAAAGGTGGAAAGGGGGTGGATGGATGGTGATGGAGGGGAGGATGGATGATGGATTGGAGGAGGATGGATGGGGGGATGATGAGGAGGAGGGGTGGAGGTGGGAGGATGGATGGATGAGGAAGGAGGAGGAAAAACGGTTGTGATCTTCCAGAACGATCTTTCAGTTCCTGGTCACACTCATCCAGAGGGTTCAGGGTTTCGCTGGAGGTTTAATCACTATTATCTGCTTTGAAGTCTAAATCAATCAACCTTTAGGCAGCAGGAGGGAATCTCCCTGATGGACGTGATGTCAGCTGGAGTTCACTGTGATCTGCACTGTTTCCATGATGTTTCCCTCCATGTTTCCATGAGGGAAAGGCTAATCAGAGCAGTGGGAACACTGGGTGGGAGTGGCCTGTTAATATAACTGAAGATTAGCAGGAATGTCTGCAGAGCTCCATCCAAGCTAAACCTGATTATAAATCTGGAAGCTTTTCTTCTCGCTGTGAGGTTCTCACCACACATCTGTGATTCTTCATGGATCTGTGTTTACAGTGACGGAGCCACAGAAGCAGCATGAGAAAGTATATTTTCTAAACGACTTGTGTCTCTGTGCAGCTGATGAGGAAACGGTGCGACCTGAAGAAGAAGCTGCGGGTGACATTTGTCGGGGAGGCGGGGCTTGACATGGGCGGCCTGACGAAGGAGTGGTTCCTTGTGGTGGTCGACTTCCACACTGTATGGTGAATTTCCCCCCAGAGCACACCTCACACATGGATCTGCTTTTCCCCAACAAAACATTTAAAGTTCTCCACAGTTTGAGCAAAACGCCGCTAACCTCTATTGTCCCAATTTAACACATGGCCCCGGGAGTGGGGTCTGCAACACCTCCATCCTTCCTTTCCCCCCCCTTCCCCCCCATTCCCCTCCTTTCCCCCCCCCCCCTTCCCCCCCCCCTTCCCCCTCCCCCCCCCCCCCCTCCCCCCTTTTTCCCCCTTCCCCCCCCCCCCCCCCCCCCCCCCTCCCCCCCTCCCCTCCCCCCTCCCCCCCCCCTCCTTCCCCCCCCCCTTCTCCCCCCTCCCCCTCCCTCCCCCCTCCCTCCCCCTTCCCCCTCCCCTCCCCCTCCCCCCTTCCCCCCCCCTCCCTCCCCTCCCTCCCCCTTCCCTTTCCCTTTTCCTTCCCTCCCCCCCTTCGTCCTCCGCCCTCCCTCCCCCTCCTCCTCCCTCCCCTCCTTTCCTCCTTCCTTCCCTTCCCTCCTTCTCCGTCCGTCCTCCCTCCCTCCCTCCCTCCCTCCCTTCCCCCCCCTCCTTCCTTTTTCCCTTCCCTTTCCCCCCCCCTTTTCCCCCTTTCCCCCTCCCCCCCTCCCTCCCCCCCTCCCTCCCCCCTCCCTCCCCTTCCTCTTTCCTTTCCCCCCCCTTTCCCCTCCCCCTCCCTCCCCCCCCTCCCCTCCCTTTCCCCCCCCTCCCCCCCCTTTCCCCTCCTCCCTCTCCCTCCCTCCTCCCCCTCCCCTCCCCTCCCCTCCCTTTCCCCCCCCCTCCCCCCCCCCTTTTTCCCCCCTTCCTCCCTCCCTCCCCTCCCCCCTCCCTCCCCCCCTTCCTTCCTTCCTTTCCTTTCCCCCCTCCTTTCGTCCCCCGTCCCTTCCCCCCCCCTCCTCCCTCCTCCCCCCTCCCTTCCTTCCCCTTTCCCTTTCCTTCCTTCCTTCCTTTCCCTTTCCCTTTCCCTCCTCCTTCGCCCGCTTTCCTCCCTCCCCCCCTTTCCCCCCCTCCCCCCTTTTTTCCCCCCTCCCTCCCTCCTTTCCCTTTCCCTTTCCTTCCCTCCCCCTTGTTCCCCTCCGTCCCCCTCCCTCCCTCCCCCTCCCTCCCCCCCTCCCTCCCTCCCTTCCTTCCCTCCCTCCCTCCTCCTTCCTTCCTTCCTTCCCTCCGTCCTTCGTCCGTCCGTCCGTCCTCCCTCCCTCCCTCCCTCCCTCCCTCCCTCCCTCCCTCCCTCCTTCCCTCCCTCCCTCCCTCCCTCCCTCCCTCCCTCCCTTCCTTCCTTCCTTCCTTCCTTCCTTCCTTCCTTCCTTCCTTCCTTCCTTCCCTCCCTCCTTCGTCCGTCCGTCCGTCCTCCCTCCCTCCCTCCCTCCCTCCCTCCCTCCCTCCCTCCCTCCCTTCCTTCCTTCCTTCCTTCCTTCCTTCCTTCCCTCCGTCCTTCGTCCGTCCGTCCTCCCTCCCTCGCTCCCTCCTTCCCTCCCTCCCTCCCTCCCTCCCTCCCTTCCCTCCCTCCCTCCTTCCTTCCTTCCTTCCTTCCTTCCTTCCCTCCCTCCCTCCCTCCCTCCCTCCCTCCCTCCCTCCCTCCCTCCCTCCTTCCTTCCTTCCTTCCTTCCCTCCCTCCTTCGTCCGTCCGTCCGTCCATCCATCTAACAGGTCTTTGTGTTCCAGGGATTTTCTCCTTCATGAAGGACTCACGCTGCCACTGGTTCAGCAGCTGGAAGTCAGACAACTATTCAGAGTTCCAGATGGTTGGAACTGTATCCTTTTACAGCAGACCCATCTGGGTTTTTTCCCTAATATTATTATTATTATTTTATGATTTATACAGTATTTATGGCCAAATAAGTCTGCTCCATGGTGCAGGTGGCGCTCCCTGCTGGAAACTGTTAGAATGACGGCCCAGATAGACTAATTCAGCCTCAAGCTCTTCTTCTAAAGTCATTAGTTTCCATCAGAGATGAACTGATCATGGGAACGTTGGTCTCTGCCTACCTGCATAACTGCTGGTGTTTCTCTTACTGCTGCTGTCTGAATAACAGCACTGAGAGCTGGGATATGCTGCACTGAGGTGATGGCAGCTTTCTGTGGGTTGGAAACCAGAATGATCCAGCTCTTCATGCAGAGTTAAAGGCCAGCTGGGAGCTGTCAGAAGGTTATATAAGCTAATGGTTGCCTGCTCCCACCCAGCTCAGTTAAAACACTGATGGTTGTTCACATAAACCTGTTAACACCTTCACAGCTTAGGCATGATACCCTCATGGCATGGAAGACTGGAACCCTGAAGGCTGTTGGTTTGGTTTCAATGAATCCAAAGTCCTGTGAAGGGACCCAGACCAGAGCTGGCTGTTTGGTTTGAGTCTGGAAGGAAATGTGGTGGAAGAAAGGAGGAGTGTTTGCCTCGGGGTGTTCCTGCATGTTCCACATGTGGGCTTTTTCTAAAACCTAATTTTCCCATTATTTGAGGCTTGTTAGTGCTGAGAGAGGAAAGAGAATACTGGGCAGAATAGAATAAAACCAGCACTGTGGAGAGAGCTGGTCATGTGGTGCTGTAGCAAAGAGTGAGGAATAAACAGAAGGAACAATCAGAAATGATGCATTAAAGGAAAAGTCATTCAAAACTCTGAAAATACTTTAAATAAATGATTAGTGTTTTTAATTCAGAGTAATTTTCATGTGAATGTGCTTTACTGGAGGCATCCATGTTCGTCAAAGAACACTACTGCCACCTACTGGTTAGTGACGTCACGGTGCGGTATCGGCTGTTGATCAAGTCCCAGTGCTGTATCTGGTGTTTGTCACAACGCGCTATTATCCAAGTCATCTTGAAAACATTCTTCTTCCAAATGTTGGCTACATATTACGGGTTTTTTCTCTGGCCAGAAGTTCGATGGCAAATCCTCCCTCTTCAAGTTGGCGATCCAACGACCAACCCGTCCGTGGAGGATCAGGAATCAGAAAGGTGGAATAACTCTTTTTTTCACTTTTACCCGATGTATTCCAGCATCCAGCTGCCATGCACGTGGGCATTGTCAGTTTCACTATAGCTCTGGTGAATTTCAATGGTGAAGTCCTCTGGAAATCTTCAATAATTGTTGTTGATTGCAGATGTGTCTAGTAGTTCCCATTGATTTAGCTTGGAAAGCGGGGAGAATGGCGCTAGGCTTACCGCACCGTGACGTCACTGCTGGAAGATGGCAGGAGGGAGGGGCTACTATATTTGGGCAAAGATGGCCGCTCCCAGACTCAGTGATCACGATGAAAAATATTTTTAGTAACACTAAATTTATACCTAAATTAATTAATTTAGGTATAAATAATGATCCATTAATTATTCCTTGCTGAGCAGACTTTTCCTTTAAATATAGATATTAAATAATACAATATAACCTTCGATAACTTCAAATATATTATTGTACTAGGTCAGTAAATTAATCCAATAGGCTGCCTGCAGTGTTTTTAAATGTCCAGCAGGTGTCAGTATTCTTACAGACAGCATCAGTACAGTTTGGCCTCAGGATGCCTCATTAAGCATCACCTGGTCAGCTGGTGTGTACACTGTGTTTAGCGGTGGGTGTTTGCCTTTGTGTCTCCATGCTGTCCTGTGACGGACTAGAAACCGGTCCAGGACTGTATGCAGACAGAGACGTCAAAGGGACCCCAGGAATAAAAGTTTCTCTGTGGCAGTCATTAGGGCCCTTCCTGTGGGGGCCCACAGTATAAGTAGCAGTAATGATTCATCCACCTGCAGAGTTGCTCTCTTCTTTCACTCTGGAGGGCGGCGGCCCAGAGCACGCACTCATTAAGTTCCCAGCTCCCACATGTGTTCGCCAGATGTGCAGAAATTCCTCGCGTCGGCTCCAGTTCAGTGTTTAAACTGAGCGGCGCTGATTGCAGGGAGGCGACACACAGAGAGAGAGAGAGAGACGCAGCAACGTAAAAATAAACCCACACCGTTAGCATTACCGCAACCATTAAGGTCACTATAGAGTCAGACACAGAATACAAAAAGGACCGACAGTTCTGACAGAACATCTGCACTGGAAAAAACTCACATCTACATAAGTCATTTTTTTCATAAAATATATGCATTTGTTGTTGGATTGAGGAGTTACTTATTTAATTACAATTAAAATAAGAAAAGACAACTGGATTGTCTTATTTAGAGTGCGTATTATCTAAATATCTTATTTTAAGAGTAAAAATACTCTAGTTTCCATTTACCTGCTCAAATTAAGGGTAAATACACTAAATTTAAGACATTCTTACTTATTTCTAGATCGTTTTTCCGTGTGATGAATTTTCTTGAACACAAACATCTTCTAGATCGAAATCTCTAGCTTGATCTGAGATCTCTGGACTCATGAGAGCTGAAGGCCCTTTAGAAAGCATCGATATTAGCCCCACCCACTGACTTACAGCGAATTTAAAATATTTCAGACCGAACTAAAACTGGGAAAAACGATGTAGAAATAAGTCTTAAATCAAGTGTATTTATCCTTAATTTCAGTAGGTAAATGAGATAGTTTGCCAATTGAATTAGTAGTTTTACTCTTAAAATAAGATAATTAAAGTGCACTTGAAATAAAACAATGCAACTGTGTTTACTTTTTTTAAATGTAAATTTTCTTCTGCTGTTTGCAAAAAGGTTTCTTTTATGTCCTCAATTTAAGAACAAATGTAGTTATTTTAAGAGAAAAGGACTTCGATTTTTTCCAGTGTAGGACATAGATCCTGAAACTTTTGGTAAAAAGTTATTTTTAGAGTCAAGGCAAGAAGATTTCTGTTCATGGTCCGTATGAAGCAGCCAATCAGACGTCAGTCTCTATATAAGTGAACTTAATCCCGCCCACTCAGTTGGATGAGTTAAACTGATAGTTTAAATGATATATTGAGACTTCTGTGCAGAAAGCAGGACATAAATAAATACAGCAGGAAATAATGTGTAATATAATAAGAAATTTTATTATATTAGCATCATAGATCAGTCTGATAAGACTCAATGTTCTCCAGTCTAAAACAGAATGGACCAATCACAGCGCAGGAGGCGGGTCATAATGTAACAGTGCTTTTCTGTAACCATAACAGTAAATGTTGCAGCTTTAACAGAGCAATGTTTTAATGATGCGCTTTACTAAATCCAGAAGCATCTTTTCATATCTTTAAAACTCAAACAACTGGCTGCTGTAGAGCTTTCATTTAAAAACAGACACGTCCGTCACATCCGTGGTTATCTGATTGGTTTTGTTTCTGTCGACTCTGTGGGTCAGTGTCTCATTCAGCGTTAATCAGCAAAAAAACAAAAATTTAACCGATACCGCACCGTGACAATGTCACTAACCAGTAGGTGGCAGTAGTGTTCTTTGACAAACATGGATGCCTCCAGTAAAGCACATTCACATGAAAATGACTGAATTAAAAACACTGATCATTTATTGAACAGGATGGAATCATTTCAGATTTAAAGAACTTTCAGAAGTTTGAATTCTGAATATGAGCGACTTTTCCTTTAAATTGAAAATATCTTTGATATTTTTAGATGCAGTCAATAAATAATGTAAACATAACATGACAATTTAGGGGAACATGTGAATGAGGATTTTAAGTCATATTTCTAAAACAATAAGTTCAGTAAAAACAGTAAATAAACCAAGAGTCATTTTGAAATTAACTTTAATTCAGATAAGTTGAATGATAACTGAGAGGAAAAGGATGACACGAGAAAACTGAAATAAAAACGCAACCTGTGAAACGTTTCTGTTTTTTTTAGGCTGCTACAAAAAATGTTAATGAGAAACTGCAAAAGATGAGACTTTTTTTTTTTTTTTTTGCAGATCCATCATTTTGACAGATTCAATTCAATTCAGTATAGTGGCAATTCACATCACAGTCAGATTGATTCAAAGTTTTCTATCTAAGGAAAACCAGCTGATTGCATCGACTCATTGACTCTTCAGCAATCCCTCACACTAAGCATGCTTGTAGCGACAGTGGAGAGGAAAAACTCCCTTTGAACAGGAAGAAACCTCCAGCAGAACCAGGCTCAGTGTGAGCGGCCATCTGCTGAGGCCCACTGGGGTTCAAGGAGACAGAAGTAGGGACAAATATTGACAGATATGTTTTTTTTAATTAATGTTTAGTGAGTCAGTAAGTTAGAAACAACTCCTGTCGGTCACATGACTTTCTTGAAACGACACGCGCATAGATAGAGTGTTTTGCTCTATGGGCTCGATGCATGCACCGACGCATGAATGGTGCTGAACCCATCATTAAGCTGACCCATTAGTTGCAGCGGGGCTTTCTGAGTATCTACCCACACATGGCTACTCCCTCCTGGCGTATGTTTAAAACCATCTCCATGCAGCAGCTAAATTAATCTTCTCATAGAAACTGTGTTTCAAACTTAACCCACTGTGTCATCAGCTGATGGGCTTAGCAGTTTACAACAGCATAGCTCTGGACATCCACTTCCCTCTCTACTGTTACAGGTAAAAGGTTTCCAATATCATATATTCAACCTTTTTTGTGTTTTTTGTTTTTTGTGCTGACATGTCTATGATATTCTGCAGAAAACTCCTCACTCCACCAACGGCACCTTCTGATCCTAATGCTTTTGTTGGCATGGCAACAGCCACCCTGGATGACCTGCAGCAGGTCATGCCTGTAAGTATCTCTATAAGCAACTAATAAACCTGTTTTGTTGAAAAAATTATGATTTAGTTTCCTGCAAAAAAAATTAGTTTAGGCTCTAGATAAAAGCTTTGAATATAAAAACGGATTAGTTTGGACCGCTGTATGCATTCGGACCCATCTGCTGGCTAATCCAGACCCAACCTGAGATAAAACATTTATAAATTACTGCATGTTGTCCGACGGCAGTGTTTAATTTCCCTTGCGCCTCTTCTCCTGTTAATACGGTAAAGCCCTGGGGAGCGTCCGGCTCCAGGCTGCGCGTGATCCAAATGAGCCAATGAGCTGTCAGTCTGGGTTGCTGCTGCTGCTACTTTTAGACACAGCAGGCAAACCTGTGGCAAGCCGGGCGATGGGAAAGAAGGAGAAGACCATGAGAAAAAGAGAGCAGAGAAAGTGTGGACTGCTGGAAGAACTGCGGTGAACTGGTGAAAGAAAAGTGAAATGGCGTGCTCAAAGATGACCCTGCACATTTAGAGGATGTTTGGCTCAACCTGCTGCTGTGAAGCAGGATTCTCCACCATGAACAGAATCAACAAGAAATCTGGATCCAGGCTCAAAATGAGCTCCTTGATATGTGCTTGAGAATGGCTTAGTCTCCGGTTAAACCCAGGTTTAAAGCCTTGCAGGGCAGCCTAAAGACCACTGCCAACATTAAGACAGAAACAAGAAAGAAAATAACAAACCATCAGTTCAGGGGTTTGAGAAAATATGGGAATCAGGAAATTATCTATAAACCAAACTGAACGATTGTTGTTTAGAAAACATGTAAATTGAACAGAAAACTAAAACCAGGCTTTGTTGGGCTACTGTATAAAACCTGGAACTAAACGCTATTTCTGACATTTTGAATTGAAAAGCTTCCTGGATGGAAGAGAAACGTCTTCAAACTCGGAAACAAACTCCAGTGGATTGATTTAAACTTTTTTTTGGAGTGACTTTGACCTTGATGAGAATCTTCACCAAGTTACAGATGTAGTTCACTAGTTGGCCACAAGAGGGTGACAGAGTCAGAGTTTTGAGTCCCTCTTTTTCACCTTTTAACACTGTGGCCCAGTTTCCCTTCATGCTGTTGATTAAACAGAAGTTCAGATCCACCATCTTCCTCTCTGTTTCTCTGTTTTTCTGTTGCACGTCCATCGAATCTCCTATAAAGTTGAAAAACAGTTGAAATATGTGGTCAAATAAAATGAAACATTGAAGCACCTTCATGTTTTCTGGTTTATTTGAGACATACAGATTTTCAAAGCTTCACAGATATGAATATATTGTATTAATAGCTTTCAAAGAACAATGAGTAAACATGACTATGAAAATGAGGTGACTGAACAAACGTGGGTTTTTAACATAACTTTCGTCACCAGAGTTCTATAGGGATGTTTTTATCTGTGAACTGTCTATTAGGATGTGGTCTGTTCAGTACTTCATCATAATAGACAGATAAAGACTATATTATATATAAGATATGCCTTAATATTACTGGGCAATGATGACTTGACTTTATTAAATATTAAATGCACTTCAAACTAGAGCCATATTTAGTCACTAAAGTGAACATTTATGTGCTGATCGTTGGATAACCTGCAGTTAAAGCTTTGCTTAAAGGAAATCAACACGTAAAACTTTAATCTGGTAAAACAGTTCCTCTTGTCTCTGACCGACAGTCTTAGGACCGGATTTATAAAGACACCTTTGTTCTTTTTTACACTCAGCTCTTTTTAAAGGGTTTCTATGGCGAGCTCTGCTGGTATAATTGGCTGTTATTAAAGTTCACTTTGTAACATAGTTAACTTTTTAAATTCATTATTTCTTTTAACAGTGTTAGATCTGCAAGCACAGTTTGTGTCGTTACTATTGGTTTATTGGATCAAATAATTATTAAAATGGTTAGATCTGCTTACTTAGTAGGTAGATTTCCACAGTCATATTTTTATCATGTAGGTAGGTGCGTTCCTTCTAAACGTAACAAACCCGCCAACAAAATACCACAGAATCAAAGCAGTAAACTTAATAATAACTAAATAAGAATAATTCAGGGCATCATTTAAAGGCATTTATGGAGCGATTATGATGCAGCTCTGGGCCAAAGACTGTCCTTATCCATTCATTTCCCTAAGACTCTTTTAAATATGGCCGACGTATCGAAGGATGTGTCCTTCATGGCCAATCATTTCCCAGGATTCAGTACTGGACTGGTTAAGGCAAATATAGAGGATAAAATCAAAATAATACACTTTCTCTGACATAAAATAAACTTTTATCATAAGTAGGATTGTTGATCTCAGACATGTTTTGGGTTTATTACAGCTTAAATAAAGAAAAAACAAAATCAGCTGCCTGATTCTCAGCTCACCCTGTGAACCGCTGGGTTTTAAGTTGTAGGGAAGTCGTATTAAATTGACATGTATAGAAATATACTCTTTATTGGACCATATTGTCCCAAAATTTAGAAAATTTCTATTTAGCAAAAAATCCTGCCTTAAAATCTGTGTTTTTTTTTCATTATCTTCTGCAGGCCAGTTAGTTCTACGTCAGCCTGATTCGCCAATCACATATCAACGCTCATTTGTCAATCACATTTTTTTAATCATAGTATCTTCATTCATACGTCGCAGCTAATATACGCAACGTCAGTCTGGATTTTCTAGGGACTCACAGCAGTTTCCCGCCAAAGTGCATGGGGGAGCCTTTTTGCGAACTTGCAAGAACTTCGGCAGATGGTCACGAGGACTACTTTTTGACTGAGACCTTGACATCTTTATATCATTTGTCTGAGGCATCGTACTGTGGTTGTACTTCCGAACCTCTTCGATTAACCTTTCGTCGTAGTTATCCATTGTAGTTGTTCCTCGGTTTTTAAAAATGGCGCGCCCCCGGCACCGAATCGAGAAGGACGACCACAGACAGCCGGAAAGGCATACCAAGGACCAATCACAGCTGCTTTTTGTCTGTGCGCTTTCGCTTGAGGTCTGCGTGGGTTTGCAACCGTCCGACCCGTAGTCATGATTATTTTGAGGTGCGCAATGACGGTTGCAGAACCTCTGCGAGGGGGGCGTTGTCGGGCACAAAGACAGATTTGACGGTAGCAGAGGCTATGCGTCAGAAGTATAAATTAGCCTTAAGCTTGTATGAACTTTGAGAACAGCTTTTAAACAGGGCGTGCACGAGGAGAAATGGGCCGTGCACGCTCTCGCACACGTTTAATAGGCGTTCCCTCTCGCAAGTGTGGTTTTTATTTAAGGTGGAGAAGGTGAGTCTTTTAAGAAATTCCTGCTCCCAAAGTCAGCTGGCCTTTAGTTTCTAAACATTAGCCATACCTGTGCAGATAATGATGTTTCCCCTTTTTGCTCCCTCTGACTTCATTGGTAAACACTTTACTAATCTTATAAATAGCTCACACCCAGTTACAGCTTGCTTACCGTCTTTTATCCAGACTATGCTGGCTGTTTATCTTTGGTCTGATTTATCGGGTCTCCAAGCTGCCGTCATCAGCCAGTAGTGAAATGAATTAACTATTTTTGAAAACAAGGCAAATATTTGTTTAACACAAATGTGTAGAAGGAGAGAAAAAACTTAAAAACCTCTAAATTATTCTTTCATTTAAGTATTTTGGACACTTTGCTTCATTGTTGTTGCTATAGGGAACCTTTTTTGTTTGGCAGTAGAAAGATTGAGAAAGTGTTGAGGAGGAATAAAGAGCAAAATGTGCCTGAGGTAAGAATTCAGAGAGAGAAAGATCATGAAGTGGCTCCGAAAAGTCGCTCTCAGTTACCTGATCCACAGGCTCCTAAACCTTTCTGACTGCGAAGGTCAAAACTCTTCCTGTCAACACCCCCCCCCCCCCCACCCACCCCCACCCACACATGGAATGGCTCATTGGGAGCCCTGACAGCCCAGTAGTTCTATAACTGGAGGAAATCAGTTTTTAAAGGAAGAGTCTGATCAATGGATCATTATTTATACCTAAAACTAATACGTTCAATTAGTAAAAAAATAAAAACAATAATTTTCATCACGATCACTGAGTCTGGGAGCGGCCATCTTTGCCCAAATATAGTAGCCCCTCCCTCCTGCCATCTTCCAGCAGTGACGTCACGGTGCGGTAAGCCTAGCGCCATTCTCCCCGCTTTCCAAGCTAAATCAATGGGAACTACTAGACACATCTGCAATCAACAACGATTATTGAAGATTTCCAGAGGACTTCACCATTGAAATTCACCAGAGCTATAGTGAAACTGACAATGCCCACGTGCATGGCAGCTGGATGCTGGAATACATCGGGGAAAAGTGAAAAAAAGAGTTATTCCACCTTTCTGATTCCTGATCCTCCACGGACGGGTTGGTCGTTGGATCGCCAACTTGAAGAGGGAGGATTTGCCATCGAACTTCTGGCCAGAGAAAAAACCCGTAATATGTAGCCAACATTTGGAAGAAGAATGTTTTCAAGATGACTTGGATAATAGCGCGTTGTGACAAACACCAGATACAGCACTGGGACTTGATCAACAGCCGATACCGCACCGTGACAATGTCACTAACCAGTAGGTGGCAGTAGTGTTCTTTGACAAACATGGATGCCTCTAGTAAAGCACATTCACATGAAAATTACTCTGAATTAAAAACACTGATCATTTATTGAACAGGATGGAATCATTTCAGATTTAAAGAACTTTCAGGAGTTTGAACTCTGAATATGAGCGACTTTTACTTGAAGAAGTGATACTGGTTGCTTGCTTCTAAAGTCTGCTAAATCTACAAATAAGACCAAGTTAAACCCCATTCAGCAATAACAGCTGTTTGCTTTATTGGTTTCAAATTCTTGAATTAGTAAAAGATAAATTGTTTTAGCGTTAAAGTGAACTTCTAAGCCTCATGTTCCCATCAGATCTGCATTGTGTCTTTCTTTGTGTCGCTAACTGTGACATAATGTCGGCTGATCTTATGTCACACAGCGCCTTCAGCATCACCTCAGGGAAGTTATTTGCATAACTCACTAGTGAAGTAAGGAATGTTTAGTTCAGTAATGCATGAAAAAAAGGGTTAACTTTGCCTGCAGAGAAAAGGAATTTCCATCCATCTGTTTCTCCATCCGTAGGACTTGGCTCATGGATTAGCGGAGCTTCTGAGCTACGAGGGAAATGTGGAGGAGGACTTCTACCTCACCTTCCAGGTAAACTCCTTCAAATCCTACAGATACCAACCATTACTGCTAATAGGAGGAGTCAGAAAATGAGAAAGACTTGACCTCAGCGGAAAAACTGAATCATTTCTAATTTTAACTTCATCACAATCGTAACTGAAGAGAAAAAGTGACTCATAAACTTCTTCATCTTTGGATGATGAATGATTTCATGACTGACTTTTTAAAGCCTTCATATTGGAAACATACTCATGTTCTCCAAATGAATAACTGCTACGATCAACGGAAGCTGATGTTACGGTTGAGCCCCAATTATCGCTACCCCGTAAATTAAGAGCATTAATTGACTTTTTTCTGCTACTGAAGACTTTGGAGACAACATCTAAAAGCAGCGAACTCTGCTCTCCAGAGCGAGTAGATTGGTAACCCCGCCTCCTGCTCTCCTCTATCTTGTCTGCTGTCATGATTCATGCAGCTATTATTTCATCCAAATGAAAAATGGAGAACAGATAAGCAGATCATGGCTTGTCTACAGTGAAAAGAAGGACTGGGTTATTTACTTTGGCCTTTTTGGAAACACAGGAAGGAGCAATCAGCTAAGTGAGCTTAGTGCTTGGAAAAAATCTTTCATTCCTTTAGAGACAGCATGAAAAGTCAGCTGAGTACAAAACATAGAGAGGAAAACAAGAAGAAAAGGGACAAGAAGAGAGGGACACAACCTAGAACAGATAATGGATGTCTATTCTATTAACATTTCTACATCTGGAGAATGGGGCTGTTTATGTATTCTCAATTCAGAGGGCCCCCTGCCTGTCTTTACCTAGGGCCCCTAGTTTCCTAAATCCACCCCTGACAATAATATAACCACATCATCTGCATCTCTGCTCTAAATATCCCTAAAGTTCACCTGAAAACGTCCCTGTTTCCATGTTCTTAGCCGCGTGGTCTTAGCTGATGTCGACTTAATGACAGAGTTCCTCTAAATGGTGACGCCACATAAAGAACAAGAGCCGCTCCTGAGCTGAATAGCTGAGTCATCTCTTTTGCAGCGGTGGATAAATATAGAGCTTATGTGAGGACGGAATATGTAAAGACCTGAGCAGAGGTGTTAGTTTAACTCCAGCGAGATCTACAGGCTGCTCACTGTCACACCACTGTGGGACCATTTCCACTGCCGAGCTCTAAAGTCTGTCTGTGGGACCTTTTCTCCACTTATTTCAACATTTTCCTCCATGCTAACGCCTTTTTTCTCACACAAAAATAGGATTCAGCTCTACAGAGAGCAGCTAGAGATGAGGTCATTTTATTTTCAATTGAATGAAATATAATTTAGCCGGGTGGCTAAGCTAACCTATGCCAAAGTTTTGACAGTAGTCAGACAAGGTCACATTCTCCGTTATCAATATCTGTAATAAGACCAGAATTTAGGTCCCAGAATTCAGGCGAGACAGTGGGAAAGTTCAAGAAGTTTAATAAAATAAGCAGTACAGAAGGCAGGGCTGTGGATCTGCAGCAGCTGCAGGGGGGAGGCGCACACCACCCGTCGATGGCACGCTTGTTTAACAGTTCAGTCCAGCTTCTAATAATGAGGCGGGATCCAGCCGATGGACTGCCAAACGAGATGCGGCAGGAGTGTCGCCGATGCAGCAGCCTCCGAGAACAGGCAGAACTCTGAGCCCGGTCAGGGAAACGATTCAGAACTGGACGGTTCCAGGAGTCCGTAAACTGGTCAGGGGTTCGGATCCAAAGAGGAACAAAAATATCAAGGGGTTCCATGAGTCCACAGAGAGTTCAGGCAGGTTAGGAGCTCCATGAGTCCACAGAGAGTTCAGGCAGGTTAGGAGCTCCATGAGTCCACAGAGAGTTCAGGCAGGTTAGGGGCTCCATGAGTCAACAGAGAGTTCAGGCAGGTTAGGGGTTCCATGAGTCCACAGAGAGTTCAGGCAGGTTAGGAGCTCCATGAGTCCACAGAGAGTTCAGGCAGGTTAGGAGCTCCATGAGTCAACAGAGAGTTCAGGCAGGTTAGGGGCTCCATGAGTCCACAGAGAGTTCAGGCAGGTTAGGAGCTCCATGAGTCCACAGAGAGTTCAGGCAGGTTAGGAGCTCCATGAGTCCACAGAGAGTTCAGGCAGGTTAGGAGCTCCATGAGTCAACAGAGAGTTCAGGCAGGTTAGGGGCTCCATGAGTCCACAGAGAGTTCAGGCAGGTTAGGAGCTCCATGACTCCACAGAGAGTTCAGGCAGAAATGTTCGGATGCAAAACAGGTAGGCTCAGTAGTTGAGAGGCAGAACAAGACACTACATCAGGAAAACTGTGGAACTTTAAACTAGCTCCCTCTGCTGAGCCAAAACAGGATCAGGGAACACTCAGAGGATACGAGCCAGGACTGATCAGGAAACACTAAGAAATCATTAAAAACCCTCTAACCACTGGCCTCCCAGAACCAAAACATGAACTAATCAGAAATTATATAAACCTCAAACTCAACTAGCAGAAAGTCAATGACCTGGCCCTGATAGCTGGGCTGAGCCGTATATAAAGCAGCAGGAGCAGGTGGATAAGATGAATGATAATTGGTAACGGGGAGGGTTAGACAGGAGAGAGAACAATTAGGTCACCTGTCAGGACAGTGATTATGACATGTCTACGGTTTTAGATAAAAAAAACTTTACAGGAGAAGCAAAATGTGTGGAAAACAAAAAGGTAAACTGGTTCAAAACATCTTCCAGAGTTAAAATCTAAAGTTTCTAATATCATTAAGCTGAACAGTCTAAAAAGTATCAACATTGTGCCTAACTCACATCTAAGGGCAGTTTAATGGAGGATTGTTACCATAACAGTTGGTTTTCAGACTGTGGAAGAAACCAGGTGAACCAATCTAAAGATATAGAGCTGAAATCTAAGTCAATTTTCTTAAAATAAGTGCATTTTTTTTTCTTTAATTAAGCAAGTAACTGAAACACTTTGCCAATGGAATAAGAAAATTTACATTTAAAATAAGAAAATAAATTGAATTGTCGTATTTCAAGAGTATAATATCTAATTATCTAATTTTAAGAGTAATTTCATCTTATTTAACTACCCAAATTAAGGATAAATATACTTCATTTGAGACATTTTTTTTTATTTTTTTTTAGATCGTTTTTTGCAGTGAAGCCTCTCTGGTTTTTCTATCCTTCTTCTTCAGGTGCGGGAAGCTTAGAGGCGATCGAACTTTCTTTATGGCAGCTCCAAAAATGTGGAACGACCTTTAATTGCAAATTAGATTGTCTATTTCTTTGTCTGATTTTAAATCTCGCTTAAAAACGAATCTCTTTGCCTTGGCTTTCTAAACTGTGTGAGATGTTGAATATAGTCTGAAACATTATTTTGAATTACTTTTATTTTTATTTTATTATAGATTTCATTGTTCTAGTTAAACTTTGTCTTTTATGCTTGTATGGTTACTTAGACTCTGTGTAATGGTGTTATGTTTCACTGTAGAGCACTTTGAGAAATTTATAAGTGCTTTATTAATCATTTGAATGTTGTCCAATGACTCCATCCTGGAGAGAAATATCAGCTGTGCTGCTGCCATCAACACCTTTGTTTCTAGATGTTGGAGATCGGCCTGTTTTCCAGTGTAGTCCTGTTTCTCTGACTGTGGCTAACTGGATGTGCTCTCTTCATCCTCTGACATGGGAGCTGGCTCGGAGCTCGTCTGCCTGGCTGTGTGTTTCCTGGACGGGGCCGCCTGTGGAGCTGGTTGACAGTTGCCTTTTGTATCTATGCTTCTTTTTCTATGTCTGCTTCTGTCTCCTTGAACCCCAGTGGGCCTCAGCAGATGGCCGCTCACACTGAGCCTGGTTCTGCTGGAGGTTTCTTCCTGTTCAAAGGGAGTTTTTCCTCTCCACTGTCGCTACAAGCATGCTTAGTGTGAGGGATTGCTGAAGAGTCAATGAGTCGATGCAATCAGCTGGTTTTCCTTAGATAGAAAACTTTGAATCAATCTGACTGGATGATCTGGTGAACTGGAAAGTGAGCTGAGATGACATGATGTGAATTGGAGCTATAGAAATAAATTTGATTTAAATTGAAATTAATAAAGTTGGATTGGATTGAAGTTATCAAAGTGACAGGATTATAAAGGAGAAAAAATGTGACTATTTCATTAACAGAGTTTATTTGAACCCACATTCACTACACCCTCGTGCTTTCCACTAATCTGAACACCAAACCAATTATGGTGAGAAAAAGGAAGGAAAACAAACTCATTAAATGTCGGTTGTGCCCACGGCGCCGTTTGCATGAAATCCTTAAATAAACAGAGGAGCTGTTGGTGTGAGTCGCCTCCTCATCAACAACCATGACCTCCTGGATTGTTGTCACGTCAGGTCAACATGTTCATCTTCTCTAGTCAGAAAGTCACCTTGCAGGTTGCTGAAATTATAAAAGGAGCAGACGGAAATCTTTTTCTGGATGCACCCAATAATCAGTGGTATTCTGGTTTATGTCTCAACGCAGGAGTTAGACTTTCAGTGGTTTTTGGAGGTAAACTGTATTTTATTGTTTACAGGTGTTCCAGGAGGAGATGGGCGTCGTCAAATCCTACAACCTGAAACCCGGTGGAGACAAGATCCCTGTTACCAAGCAGAACAGGAAGGGTGAGTTAAAGCAAAGACACCAGAGTTAGGTTTAAAATACTCTCAGCTAGAGGTAGGGAGTGAGCTCAGAGACAAAACATGTTTTACCCCAGAGCCTGGATCCAGGCAGGAAGTAATCTATGGTAAACAAACTGGATTAATGATGAAATTCTTAAAGGAAAAGTCCTGTCAGCACGGAATGATCAATGGATCATTTTTTATACCTGAAACGACGTTTGCAGCAATGGCTGATGGTGGAGTTTTCTCCAGGGGGGGCTATAAATTCAAACGTATACTAAGTTATCACACCAGTAAATTTATATGAATGCCAACAACAAACATTATAAAAACACTTTATTAAAACCTAATATCATGTACAGGTTTACTCTTTTCTACATAAATCTTTCCCTTCTGATTCTTTGTGAAGATAAATCTGTGTTTTTGTCCAATATTTTCTCACAAACCTAAAATAAAATAATGTTCAATAATGGAGAAGCTAATAGTCAGCTTTATATTTTTCAGTATATAAAAAATACTTGTTTTCTGATAATGTGTTTATTTAAAGATTAAATATGTATCTTTCACATCTGAAAAATACATATTAATATATTTTGAAATACTTTTTATTTTAATTTAAAATTAAATAATTAAAAATATCTATATGTTTTTTTATGTCTTAATCAGGGTCATTGGGTGGATGGGGCGGCGCGCTAGTGCCCTCTATTGGCCAGCCCCCACTGGTTCGCTGTGATTTCATGAATTTAGTGTTAATTAGTAAAATAATGAAAACAATAATTTTCATCGTGATCACAGATTCTGGGAGCGGCCATTTTTGCCCAAATATAGTAGCCCCTCCCTCCTGCCATCTTCCAGCAGTGACGTCACGGTGCGGTAAGCCTAGCGCCATTCTCCCCGCTTTACAAGCTAAATCAATGGGAACTACTAGACACAGGTCCCTATGATTCCTTTTTAAACATCTAAAATATTCTTTCTGTAGTGATTTTTAGACATTAAGATCTAAAGAGAAGCGCCATCTACTGGTCAGACCCTGTAGTTCAGTGAAAGGGGGAAGTCAGAGTAAAAAAATATGCCAGTGGCTGGAAGGTGGAGGGGATTTTGCTGTCATTCGGCTGGCGTTTGACTGGGAAGGGCCCTTTTGAATGGCTGCTACTGTAGCACAGGGGTACAGCTAATTCAAATGTGAAGCTGCTTTTCTTTTGAACCAGGAATGTAATTTCCCCATTCTAAGATATATCTTTGTCATGTTTTGTTAGTGTTTATACCATAGAAGAAGAGAAGTAAGTGCAGATTAGGTGAGAAAAACAGAAAAGAAAGGAATAAAGGTACCAAACAGGTAGCTGGGGTCATTCGTCCAAAGCAACATGTGGTTCACATGAGAGGTGAAAGAGACGCTCAACACAGCTCTGCTGCTTATCGCCATGGTGACAACAAGGACGGCAAATCATCCTCAGAGGATTAAGATGGAAATCTTAAGGAATCTTCAGGCTCCTGTGTTAACTCACAATGGAAAACCCTGCAGTTAAAGTCCAGATCCACAGAAATCAGCCATGCTGTAGTTTGATTCAGTTTGTGCATCAGCAGTGATTCAATTAAACCCTGATTCAATTCTATTCAGTTTATTTCTATAGCACCAATTAACAACACATGTCATTTAAAGGAACTTTCCAGTTCACCAGATCATCCAGTCAGATTGATTCAAAGTTTTCTATCTAAGGAAAACCAGCTGATTGCATCGACTCATTGACTCTTCAGCAATCCCTCACACTAAGCATGCTTGTAGCGACAGTGGAGAGGAAAAACTCCCTTTGAACAGGAAGAAACCTCCAGCAGAACCAGGCTCAGTGTGAGCGGCCATCTGCTGAGGCCCACTGGGGTTCAAGGAGACAGAAGCAGACATAGAAAAAGAAGCATAGATACAAAAGGCAACTGTCAACCAGCTCCACAGGCGGCCCCGTCCAGGAAACACACAGCCTGGCAGACGAGCTCCGAGCCAGCTCCCATGTCAGAGGATGAAGAGAGCACATCCAGTTAGTCACAGTCAGAGAAACAGGACTACACTGGAAAACAGGCCAAGCTCCAACATCTAGAAACAAAGGTGTTGATGGCAGCAGCACAGCTGATATTTCTCTCCAGGATGGAGTCACAGCCAAACAGGAACAGACCAGATGAAGCTACTATGAGAAAAAGCAGAGAGAGCAGAACGTTAGAGATTGAACTAACAGATTCTGCAGAGTGGGAGAATAGAGATAGAATGAAGCAGAATGATGAAAAAGGGGTCCCTATGTCCTCCAGCAGTCTAAGCCTATAGCAGCAGAACTATAGAGATAGCTCAGGATAACCTGAGCCACTCTAACTAGAAGCTTTATCAAAAAGGAAAGTTTTAAGCCTAGCCTTAAAAGTAGACAGGGTGTCTGCCTGACGGTTTATTTTTAATTTCAGGTTTTTTCTTTGACTGGGTTATGCTTTCAATGTTATTTTACCTTAAAGAATGGGTCTAAAAAAACAGCAAAACTGAAACATTTAAAGCTGTGGTTAAACAAGATAAAAGCAAACCACAGTAGAAACATGTTGTCTTGAATCCAATTGTAGGAATTAGGTTATAATGAACCAGTAATAATAGTGATAAATAAAGAGAATATAACTAGTTACAACAAAAAATAGTTGTTGTTGTCATTTTTTGGGGGAAACTGTCCAGTTAATATCTGCATTTATAAGGAGATCCTTTCTGAGTCCATGGAGGAGGAGGAAGTGAGGAGAAAGGAAGTGCCTCATCCTGACAGTTAACTTATTTACAAAAACTGTAAACCAAAGAGTTAAAATTCAGATTAGAATCTGAGTTTCTGCTCTGCTTCTGACTCAGTTAGTCTGGCGCCTTCAGGCAAGAACTAACAATCTATCCTTACGCTTAAACCTTCTGTTAGCTGCTCTAATTAAAGGTTTAGATGATTTTAGATGGTAAATTTCATGTTTTACCATTATGTCCAGTTTCCCTTTTTCTTCTCCTAGGCAGATATACGTACATAAATCCAGCTGCCGTCAAAGGCTTCATTGTTCACCATCAGGCTCCATAAACTCATTTTTCCATCCAGTAGCTCTGCCAGAATCCCCAGGTCGACCAGAGAAGCCAAGGCTGGAGGGTAAATGGGTAAAGCTTGGTAATGGAATAATCAAAGTCCCTCTGTTTCCCTTTCCACAGAGTATATCCAGCTCTACATCGACTTCCTGCTGAATAAATCCATTTACAAGCAGTTTGCTGCCTTCTACCATGGCTTCCACAGCGTGTGCGCCTCTGACGCCCTCATGGTAAGTTCAGAGAGTCCATGCGTTGGTTTATTTATAGTCTGTAAATATAACTGATAGAAACTGTTCAATGTTAATGGAGGATTGTAGAGTCCGTCTGATTTTTAATAATTTCTCTGAAATCCAAAAATAAGCAAAATATTCCAGATAGTCTGGACACACTGCAAAAAATCGGAATCTAAATAATTGATTTTTTTTTATTAAAACCAGTTCGTTTTTCTCTTTAATTAAGGAGCTAAGTGAGACTCTTTGCCAATGGAACAAGACAATTTACATCTAAAATAAGAAAAAACATCTTCATTGTCTTTTTTCAAATGCATATTATCTAGTTATCTTATTTTAGGAGTAAATATACTCATTCCATTGGCAGATCCTTTATAATCAGCATTTATTTACTCAAATTGTCTTTTTTTTACTTATTTGTAAATTATTTTTTCAGTGCATGACCTTAAATCTCTCTCTCTGACATTTCTGGTGTCTGTCCTTTTGGGTATTTGGGTTAAAAACAAGATAAATCTGCATTAACATTTTCTTAGACACTCAGCATACTAACACAGATTAGTGTCACTGTGCACTTTAAAAAATGGAAATGGTCATTTTTACTGCTAGCTGCTGCTTTACTGTCGGAAAGCTGTATAAACAAAGATTCTTTTGTATCTGTGTAAACAAAATGACAAAGTATCTTTCAGTAAAGCAAAACCTAACATGGTACATGTGGACAACCAACTGTAGAAATGGAAAACCTGAAACACATCAACAGTATAAATTAAAAACAAGCAACCAGTTAGCCGTGTATACGTCGTATGATATTTTCAATCGTTTCCCACAGCTAACTGTACGATGAAACCGCAGGGTTTAAAAGTTCTCAGCTCACCATGTTTGTTCTCACACTGTGCGACCCGACGCTCTGATGCGATCTACCTGCTCACACTGTACGTCTAAAAACCACCCGTCGGTCTCAGCACCGAGTGATGGCGCTGGTCGGACTTGTCAATCTGGAAGAAGAAGGAGAAATCCGTTGTTTGCGCAGTGCTTGAGGTTCTGGTCAGCCGGCTCGTAGCTCTGCTTCAACAGCGTAATTTACCCACAACTGCCTTATGACCGCCGATTTTCTCCCGACGTTACGATTCCTAATCAGGAGGTGGTCAGAAGGTGGTCGCAAAACCAGCCTGACGGAAAAAAAAATCTTGCTCGACCGGATAAGCGGCCTGAAAAGGGCAAAAAATCGTACCGTCTATGCCCTGCTTTAGTCATTATTCACCATATTGATGTTTGGTCCAATAAACACCAGGATGGTGTTGATAACCTGGAATTATTTTCATTATTTGCTGTTAAGGTGGTGGTGGGGGGGGTGGATAAAGGGAAGCATATAGCAAAGTTATGAATTATATGGAGTTGTTTTTTTCCGCTGTATTAACAGCAAACGTTAGAATATGTAAAATCATGTGCATTGTTATTCTGTTAGCCAGATAGACAGAGTAGAAGGCCTTCCTTCACATTGTGGATGTCACTGTGTGTACGGAGGTCATCTAAATAGGACAGCCTTCTTGTCTTTTAAAGATAGAGAGGATATGGGAACATCTTGGAGCCGGACTGATAGAGGAGAGCTATCTGTAATCTTGGGCATAGAGGCAAGATGCATACAGGTCAGGGCATGGATGGCGTGTCAGTTTCTGATACAGACAGCTAAACATCCACCTGATGCAACACATAGACTCATGAGCTATAAGAAGGAGGAGATTACCTTCATCGGGGCTCAATCTTTGCCGGACGCTCGCGGACGTGATTTTTTGAGCCCACAGCTGTGCAGCTCCAAGCATTTTCTCTGTCCTGTAACGACCTGATCTGGAATAAACTCTGCTACTTTTTTACTCCTCTTTTATAGTCCTTTTTATATGGTTTAACCCAGTTTGAGTTAAGAGTAGTGAATAACTTGCTCCCAGGAAAAGAACCCGTGGGGAAGCCCCGAGGCGCAACTGCTTTTTAGAGGACATAACTTCCTCATTTAACACACATAAATTGGTAAATATTGTTTATGATCGTTATATTAATACCTGACATTGATTATAGCTGAAATGTTTTTAACAAAGCAAACACTATGTTTACGTTTAACATGAACAAATTGTTTAGAAATAAATGATGCTGGTGAAGATTCTCAGTCATCCAGGTCAAAGTCATTCGAAAAAAGTAAAAAAAAAATCTACTGGACTTTGTTTCTAAGTTTGAAGACGTTTCTCTTCCCATCCAGGAAGCTTTTCAATTCAAAATAACAGAAATAGAGTTGAGTTTCAGGCTTTATACGGGGGACCAAAAACAAAGCCTGGTTTTACTTTAGAAAACATGCAAATTGAAACTCCTTTGGGAGTCGTTTTGTTTCTTTTGTTAGCCTGCAATGCCCCATACCTGTCTATGTCTCTGAAAGGGGGGTCGTTAGAAGGAATTGTTGGCCTGGCTGAACAGGTGAGGTCTTCTGTTCCCCTGTAAGGGTGTGGGGGTTGCTATGACAGCACAATCGCTATCGCTAAATGATACATTTTTTACTTGTTTTCATGTTTTAGCTCAGTTTACTAAATGAGTCTATTTTAAATGAGACTATTTTAGTAGGATCTTCTGATTCTGACTGTTAATCCAGATTAACTGCACTCAGAGATTAAAGCTAATGTCTAGCCAACATTGACCATCCTGAAACATCTTTCCTATTAATTGGAATCATGTTTAAAAGTTTAGATTTTTGTCATATTTGCTCTGAAAAGTTTTGCTGGAATAAAGTGCTTCATAGAAAATGAACTCGTTCCAGGATTTAAACCTTGATTTATATTCTGGTAAAACTAGCATCAGCTTTAAACATTCCTATCATCTCTACACACATATTTAATAGCAATATACCATGTGTTTTAAAGTTGAGTAATTCATTAATATTACTCTAAAATTCAACAGAAGTGGAGAATATAGAGTCAAACAGCTGAATTTATTATTATTCATTGTGACATTCATTGTCAGCTGTTTCCTGTTTCATCACATCCGAAGTGATCACTTCCTGTTCAGCAACAGAGGAAATAAACACACCAACGTCCCGCTGAAATCACCATAAACACGTATCTGTAGGTCTGGACTGATAAATCGACCGAAAGTTCAGATTTAGATGCTGTTATTAAAGTTTATCCATGGCTTTGTGATTCTGCTCTGCAGCAGATTCCTGCTTCCCTGCAGGTTTGACCCACTGAGTCCGGCTGCAGATAAGATTCGCTGTTTGGTTCCAGTTGCATCAACTGAGAGCCTGAATGTGGGTCAGAGGAGGGATGAAAAAGCAAAACACGGACAAACATTTGAAAACAAACAAAGGTGGCCTAAATCTCCTGTTTGTTAAAACACAGGGCTGCTGATCACTGTCTGTTTTCCCACTGGGTTCATAAGAAAATTTTTAAACAAAAAATATCCCGTCCTACTCTTAGGATGATCTTATTCGCTTTGTTTGAAGATCTGCCCACCGTATCAGACCAATGCAGAAGCAGAGCTGACATGTTTCCCTCCTATGAACCATTTCAGCCTCCGTAGTTAGAGGGTCTGTCACACATTAAGCTTCTGTATAGAAATGTAACAGAAGGGGTTGCAGCCATAATCACTCTATAGGTACTGCTGGATTCAGGATCGAGTTAAGAGACCAATAAAAATGAGAAATCTTGTTTCTGAGTTTCTGCAAAATTCAAGAGGTTTTTCTCCAAACACAAAATCCAAGTAAATTTCAAAACAAACAGACCCTTAAACAGAGATTAGTGCATCCTAAAGACCAAACCCCCAGACCAAACATCGGCAGAGTGGTCTGCAGTTCAATGCAGTGAAAAATGCTCTAATCTTTATTTTGGAGAAACCAAACAACCTCTACAAAGACGCATTGCCCAACACAGATTAGCGCCCTCCTCTGGACAACACTCTGCTGTACATCTACATCTTATGGGCAAAGCACATTCTTTGGAGGACCAGAATGTTCACATTTTGGACAAAGAAGACAGATGGTTTGAGAGGGGCGTGAAGGAAGCCATCTATGTTGAGGGGGTGGACAGATTTCAGCTTCAAAAACCTACAATGCAGCAATAGAGGTGATTCTTTCCCACTATCATGGCAACCCCCACCACCATGCAGGGGAGCAGAGCAGCTCCCTGTTTATCCAGGCCAACAATTTCCTTTAACGACCCCCCTTTCAGAGACATAGACAGGTATGGATCCATCCATCCAGCATTAAAGGCTAACAAAGAAGCCAAACGACCCCCATTCCAAAGGGGGGGGACCCCATTTGTCCGTTTCTATTTGCATGTTTTCTAAACTAAAACCAGGCTTTGTTGGGCTGCTGGATAAAACCTGGAACTAAACGCAATTTCTGACATTTGGAATTGAAAAATCTTCCTGGATGGAAGAGAAACGTCTTCAGACTTAACAATATTGCATAATATCCTCTAAACTCTCAAACCTGTGCTCTATTAGCAGAACGTCAAAGCTGAAATGATCAACTTCATTTTTTGGACATTTTTCGGCTGTCTAATCTGCTCTGTACATGAAGTCAGCATCTGGTTGGTGGATCAACCCATTAGGGCGACTCCTACACCTGAAAATAAATCCTCCTTAAAACTGAGTTCAGAAACTCACATTTTGAGTCTGAAAAAGGATAGAGATTTAGATTTAGTCTGTGTCTAATATTTCTATTTTCCTCATGATCTATGCTACTTCATCTATTTCCTTTTAAAATTAGAACAATACTTAGTTTTCCTTCCATTATTACTCTGGGAAATATTTCACCTTAAGTGCTTCTATAGAGCGTTTTTGTTTCTTTTTCCATGTGAAGTTGATTCCTTCAGGGTCCAAACATCAGATCAAATCTGAGCGGGAGCTGATAACCTTTCCTCCGGCCCAGACGTACCCGTCAGCATCGCTGAGACAAAATGGGTTTGAAAACCGCCGGAAGATTTAATTTCTAACTGAAACATTTCACTCAGTTATGTTAGAGCTTGATAATTCCAAAAATATTTTCCCTATAATTCCTCCTCCAGTAAAATATTAGAACATATCTTCTCCATGAAATCAGTTGTCAGAAAAATTGCCCATTTAGCTGGTAGACTATGGAACACTATCTGATTGTTAGAAGTATCTTATTTGCTTAATATATAGATATTATTTGGTCAATAAATGCCATTATTGATACATGACAATCTTGACAATCTTTTGAATAAGAGAACTTTTATTGTCGTTTTGTATACAGCGTTTAAACAACACGAAATTTCGTTTTGTTTTGCACAGCTTTTAGAGGGTAAATATATATTTCCATTCCATAAAGTGCAACAGTAATTTTTTTGCTGGAGGTTTCTTCCTGTTCAAAGGGAGTTTTTTCTCTCCACTGTCACTACAAACATGCTTAGTGTGAGGGATTGCTGAAGAGTCAATGAGTCGATGCAATCAGCTGGTTTTCATTAGATGGAATTAATAATTTAACCCTTAAGAAAGGAGCAGAGCCATTTCTCCATAGATCTGCAACAACTTGAATCTATGCAAATCCTCTGACTTCCACAAGAGGGTGCTGATGAATCCGAAGCTGTTGTTGCTCCAATGACCTTGGTTGCAACAGTTGACAAAGACCAAGGTCTTCCAAGTAAAAAAGAAGCTATAAAAGATGCAGGAAGGAGTAAAGGTTTAATCAAATGTAAATCTTTCTATCGGAAACCAAAACAATAGGAGTGACGAGTTCGGGTGTGTGGGCGATCTGTGTATCAACAGGTCACAGCAGGACTGTTGCGTACAGATGGACTTTTCAGCGCCAAGTCATCATGGTGTCACACAAGCATCATCCAGACGAACTGGCTCTTCTTGATTGCCTGTAATTTGATCCACGCCCCTGATCTCTTCTCTGATTGTCTCTAAATGTGTAACAGGAAGCTTCAGTTTGACACACTTTTGGATAAACCCGCCGACTTCCTGTAAAGTTTGAGTAAACACTGCCAGCTGGGCTGCTGCCATGCTTCCCTTTTCTCCTCCTCCCGCTTTACTGGCCGTGCTTCTCTGTTGCCGTCAGAGAGGCGATTGCTACACCTGAGCAGAGTTAACTTTTGTTGGAAATTAGCTTATTGCAGAACTTTCTCTTGGTCACCAGGGTGCAATTAAAGGGAATTAAGGGTTAAAAGGTCAAATGTTGTTGATGACTCAAGTCTTTCACATGCTGGTTGGCGTCACCTCCTTTAGATTTACTGAGAACTGTCTTTTAATTGCTTCTTCTTGCATCTCGATGGCAGATAATCTAGTTTTGGTTGGATCCTTCCTGTCTGCATCGATGGATTGATTTTTAACTTATTTCTCTCATATCTATACAGCAGGGGTAACCAATTAAAAAATCAGAGGCATTTTTAACTATAATCTGTTACTTTAAACAGAATTTAACACTGAAATAAAATTGGCTTATTATAAATCTATGTTATACATTGAATATTTATATAAAAAACATATATATATATATATATATATACATAAGATAATTTCCTGATTCCCATATTTTCTCAAACCCCTGAACTGATGGTTTGTTATTTTCTTTCTTTTTTCTGTCTTAATGTTGGCAGTGGGCTTTAGGCTGCCCTGCAAGGCTTTAAACCTGGGTTTAAATGGAGACTAAGCCATTCTCAAGCACATATCAAGGAGCTCATTTTGAGCCTGGATCCAGATTTCTTGTTGATTCTGTTCATGGTGGAGAATCCTGCTTCACAGCAGCAGGTTGAGCCAAACATCCTCTAAATGTGCAGGGTCATCTTTGAGCACGCCATTTCACTTTTCTTTCACCAGTTCACCGCAGTTCTTCCAGCAGTCCACACTTTCTCTGCTCTCTTTTTCTCATGGTCTTCTCCTTCTTTCCCATCGCCCGGCTTGCCACAGGTTTGCCTGCTGTGTCTAAAAGTAGCAGCAGCAGCAACCCAGACTGACAGCTCATTGGCTCATTTGGATCACGTGCAGCCTGGAGCCGGACGCTCCCCAGGGATTTACCGTATTAACAGGAGAAGAGGGGCAAGGGAAATTAAACACTGCCGTCGGACAACATGCTGTAATTTATAAATATCTTAAATCAGGTTGGATCCGGATCCTGGTCCGCTAATCCGTGACCTTTGCTATAGAACCACCACTGTTCCCAACAACCTCAGTATGTTGTTAGATTCATGCTGATTTGCACAGTTATGCTGTTTTCAAATATCCATTACTGTAAAAATACCCATAGCTGGATATTGGTTGTTTATTCTCAGGTTTTATATGGTTAAAACATTTGACGGTATATGGAGGACCAGCTCTACCATATTTAAAAATACATACAGAAATAAATGCTCAAAAAATAAATAAGCATACAATTAATCGCCCCCAAAAATACAATAAACAAATAAAAGTAGGTAGAGATTAAGTTATACAGGGAGACATAAATGTATATATCTTTTTTTAACTACAGTAGCTTCTTTATTTATTCACCTTTGTAATAATTACCTTATTTATTTATTGTTTATTATTTATTTATTTACCATTTCTTCTATCATCTTTTTGCTGCTGTAACACCAGAATTTCCCCATTCTGGGACAATAAAGGGATTTTCTATTCTGTTCTATTCTATATTCCACATTATTGCCTTATTTCCGTGACCTTTGACCCAGCCTGCCCCCCTCCAGCTCTTCACATTTTGTTTTCTGTTTATTATTGCAGTTGTTGAGGCCGGAGGAGGTGGAGATGTTGGTGTGTGGGAGTCCGGAGCTGGATATGAGCGCTCTGCAGAAAGCTGCTCAGTATGAAGGCTACGGCAAGATGGACGCCACTGTGAGGTGAGGCCTTCGGCAAAGGGCGTCATTACCGATCAGAAACCGTGCATTACCTTTCTAAAGGTGTAACCTGATGGTTTTACTGTCAAACTGAATTCATTTGTGTGTTTTAGATAGAAATAAACTTCCTCTGTGTTGTTTGTTGGGTTGCGGTGCGATGGATGGAAGAAATGTGGGAAAATCAAAGTCCTGTAGCTGCACATTCTGGCCTGGAGTTTATTTTTATTTCTAGCTGTCAGATAGTAAAACAAGCCGATACCCGTCAGCTGGAGATAATGCAAGTCAGAGCGCTGCTGAAAGCTAAGCATGAACAGCTGTTGGAGTCGTTACACAACACCAGCGCTGGCTGTCTGCCGTCCATGTTTCCCAGCAGAGCATTGATCTGCTGAGTCAGCACTTTCAGAACCAGCTCCTCTCCAGGTCAACTGGTAGAAACTGAAAGGTGTTCTGAGCAGAACCTGAACGGCTGCTGCTGTAGAGGGTTGGTGGTTTTATGTGGTCTTCACCATCTTTGTTTTCCAGGTGTTTCTGGGACGTGGTGCTGGGTTTCCCTCTGGAGCTTCAGAAGAAGCTGCTGCACTTCGCCACCGGGAGCGACCGGGTTCCTGTGGGAGGGATGGCCGACCTGAACTTCAAGATCTCCAAGATCGACGTTCCAGCAGACTGGTAGGTTCAACAGACTGGACCAGAACCATCCATCCGTCTGTCTGTTTATCCATCCATCATCCATCCATCCATCATCCATCCATCATCCATCCATCCATCCACCATCCATCCATCCACCATCCATCATCCACCATCCATCCATCCATCATCCATCA